ACACAAAGAGTAGTGCACTACACATGAAAAAAAGTAGTACTACTGAATTCATTTAAAAAATATATATTTGAAGATAATTTTTGATGATTTTTATTGGCGCATAGGATTAAAATAAAAACTAGCTCAACCGACTAAAAACAACCGCTAGTTTGAATTGAATTTAGACGATAACAGAAACCAAAACAACAGAGCTGAGTAAAGTTTACAGAAAAGACAGCAAAAAGATGGTGAATGTACAAAGCAGCCGTTGAGTTTTTTTGCCAGCTACTTATTTGAATTTTTCCTACCCGTTGCCCGGAACAGCAAACTCCAATATGAAGCTGGCGAATAACGCAGGCAACTTCAGCCTCGTGGTGAATGTTGCGCTTGTTTTACCCACAGAAGCTCTTAAAATCGGTCAAACAGACAGAGCTGTGTTTCTTTTGTTTTGAAAATGGTCGGTTTGCCTGGTCAGTCTCTCCAGTAAGACTGGAGTTTAAGTGCTGAGTGAGGGTGCATTGTTTCCAGCTTATGGAGGTGAACTTGAGCTCCAACGCTTCTCTTGTCTTCCAAAATAACATGAGCCGAGCATAAACACAGTAACAGACAGAGTCACTGGTGTTGAGGTCAAAGTCGAGTCCCAAATCTTTCTCGATTTTCTCGAGTCGAGTCTGAAGTCATCAAATTCGTGACTCGAGTCCAAGTCACATGACTCGAGTTCACACCTCTGCTAGTCTCAAAGTCAGGTGCCTTGTGCATATAATTGATGCCAGTAAATACCAAAAGCTTCAGTGCAGTATTCAGTCTAGATGCAGTGAATGTCATTATCAAACCTCTTCTATAACACATCAGCATGTGTGGCCACAGGTCATATGATTTCTTTGCAGTTCTCTCTTGGACTGCCCTCTTTCCCCGATTCTCTGTGCTTTCACTAAAACCTTTAGCTCAGTCAGTCAGACAGAGCTCATTGATTTCATACACATAAATAATTCTACACATCGAATTTCATTGTATGCTGATGACATCATTCTCTTGCTTTTAGGCATAAATAACTCAATACCACATTCCATATCCCTTCAGTAGATCAGTAAAATCAACCTTCAACTGAAGAACCTTCAGCTCTTCACTAACAGACCTCTGGCTTTACTTATTTGGGAGTTAAAATTCATCTAACTCTCAGCCTCATTCGTAAACACTTTCAAAAAAACTTTACTCAGATGCTTGATAAGCTCAAGAAAGATGTAGATAAGTGTAGATCCCAAGTGCACATTTCACTCTGGAGCTGGATTTCAGTATTAAGAATTAATATATTAATATTCTCCACCAGGTCAGTTTTTTATTGATAAATCTCCCCCCTATATATATATATATATATATATATATATATATATATATATATATATATATATATATATATATAGATCTAGCATCTTTTCAGCATACCATATCACCTGTGGGCCTTGCTCTTCCTAATTGTGTTTTATTTTAGAATTTTACTACTAAAAAAAAAAGTTTTTGATCCTTTCTATAAAATATCTTTGCTCTGTTAAGCAGGAATTTCTGTCTCGTCTATTAAAACCCAGGACTCACCATTTGTAGGTATCAATTAAAAAAGTTATCAACTTAGACTTGCACCTAACGTCACCTGACCTTTTCAAGTATGCATGAAACATATTTTTCTGGAAATATGTAGTACCGATTTCTGAAATGTTGATATGATTGCGTATTCGTTGAAACAGCAACAAAAAAGGTTTTAATGACAGTCATAACAACCTCCAAAATGTCTGGTTGTTGTCAGATACTCAGTTATCCTCAGTTTGACAGTACTGCTTTAGATCTATCTATCCGTCCACCCATCCATTCATCCACCCTTCCTTCCCTTTCCTTCCCTCCCTCCCTCCATGCACCCCACTAATTGTAATTCAGTGTATCGCAGAGATTCTTCTGTGATCTGTTATTATGAAACAAAAAAAAAAGCTATTAATTGATATTCAGTAAACTCTCTTGCTGAAATTAGTGACAAGCCAGGTGTGAATCACTGTTCTATTCACCACCAAACACATAAGCACCATTCTCCATATTATTTAACTGTTAAGGCTGTCAAATGATTAAAATCACAATTGTAGTAAATTGGTCTTGAACATGAAAATAATGTGGTTTCCACAGAAGGAACAAGTTTTTTCCAGTTTTCATCACTAACATTCATTGAGAACGACCATTGTGTGCATATCATATACATAACATATATAATTATATATTCAAACTCTGAAAATGAATTAATGGTATATTAAAAAATAAATGCTGTCAATAATTTATTGAGTAAACACTTTAACAGCTGTAATAATTATTTAATATTTCCACTGTGCAATAACTGTACTGTGTAGTGTAACTAGGCTTTTGCTCTAATGTCTCACATTAATTGTAGAGGTTGTGGTGTTTGGGGCTTATTATTTTGTCTGCAGTCAAAGCTAATCTTCAAATTAATCGTCAAAAATTGTGAAATGTGTGTTGTTAGATCCTGTTTATCACATCATAAATCACAACAGAATAACATCACATTGTGGACCTTTAATGATGCCTGTCTTTACTGTAGGTAGCACATTACTGCTCAGATAACAGACGGTTCTGTAGCACGTAACGGAGGCAGGAGTACAGAGGAATGGGGGTTGTTTTTTTTTGAGAGGGGAAGGACTTGTTTTTGGATAACCACCTACTGAGATCTGATCTTGTTCAAAGCTCAGCCGCTTTGTTTACACACTGTTTGAAAAAAGAGCCCCTCCTTTGAGCGTCTTTAAGCAGCTCATGTTAAAAACATTTGGCCCGGCCGAGACGGAGGCTGAGACTTGGCTCAGGAGCGAGTGGTGACAGAAAAAGAGAAAAATGGGAGGAAGTTTTGAGGAAGAAGTGAAGTACACCATCCAAAGCAGACTGCTCTATGGGCCTCGTTAAAAGCAGCAGATTCTGAGAAGAGAGAGTGTGTGTGTGTGTGTGTGTATGTGTGTGTGTGTGTGTGTTCAGGATGAGTGGTCATGGCCTTTAGTGAGTGTTCTCTCACTCTCTCCTTCTTTCTCCCCCTCTCTCTGCGATCTTGCACACCTGTGCCTGTGCATCTTGCTACCAGCTTCTCTGCCATTATCACTCCTTATCAGAAAATCTGTCTCTCTCTCTCTCTCTCTCTCTCTCTCACTCTCTCTCTCTCTCTCTCTCTCTCTCTCTCTCTCTCTCTCTCTCTCTCTCTCTCTCTCTCTCTCTCTCTCTCTCTCTCTCGTTCGCTACTCTATTAAATGCTGCTCCCACTCTTGAAATGTAGTTTTTACACTTCTATTTTTCTGCAAACTAGGAAAAAAGAGATATACTATTATAATTTCACTGGTTAGAAGTGGGAGTATTTATCATGCCAGGAAGCTGAGAGAGAGAGAGAGAGAGAGAGAGAGAGAGAGAGAGAGAGAGAGAGAGAGAGAGAGTTGCAGAGAGACAGCAAGATAGAGATACAGGGTGAGAGAGAGATATACAGGTAGATAGAGAGCGCGAGAGAGAGAGAGATATCTGGAGAGAGAGAGAGAGGGATACAGACAGAGAGGTAGAGAGAGATACAGTGTGTGAGAGCACAAACTACACACCACTTGGCTATTTCCAGTCACAGGGCTGTGACGGGTCTGATATTTAAGGCATGTGAACAGAGGTGATGTCATTGTCTCAGGGTAATTTCCCGGGCACTTCCAGCGCTCAACAACCACAGGCATGACTTTATCAGGTCACATCACAGGGGCAGTCACTCCCAGCCGAAAGCACCCGAAGCCACGCCCAGCTGAAAATACCAAAAAGCACCAGGGCTCTCCTGCAGTAAAGTCCCCAAAAGTCCTGACACGTGACTCACACTTAAGCACCTTCATCATTTATATAAACACGTCGTTTATTTTATTTTTTGGAAGCAGTCTTAAGAGGTCAGAAGTGTTTGTTTCCTGAGACTCTTCACAGACGCTGCACTGCAGGCTGAAGTGAAACTGATAACACTTCCTGGATCAAAGATTAGCAAGCGTTCAAAAGAAGCTGCTGAGCGGCGAAGAGGAAAGGTTTCGGGTTTGTGATCTGGTTCAGCCACAGCACAAAAGCATACACTGTGACTGTGACTGTGTGTGTGTGTGTGTGTGTGTGTGTGTGTGTGTGTGTGTGTGTGTGTGTGTTTTTTGTATGTATTCCGAACAAAAATGTCCTGACTTTGTAGGAACAGCTGATTCGTTATATCGTATTACATCAGTACTGTGCAAAAGTCCTTTGATTTATTTAATTTCCAGTCAAAACAGCCATTAATTATATTCATTTTCAGCATCAGGGAAAAATATAGATTTAACAGAAAATTACCCAGAAGCCTCAATAACTAAATACAGTATTATTTTTTTTCAGTATTTAGTGTGTCCACGCTTTGCCTGAATTACAACTTCTATTCATTTCAAGAGACTTGCTTTCAGTTTTTTAAAGAAACCTGCAGGGATGTTTTTATACACCTCCAAAGTTCAGTCTTAGAAGTTGGTTGCATTTTCTGCTTCTGAAGATCCATGTAATATGAAATTTTCATTAAGATTTTGACTCAGCAGTCCATAAAACTTTACTCCACATCTCAGATGAGTTTCAGTGTTGTAGTGCAAAATATTTCCTTCTATTTTCTTTTCTCAGTGAGGTTCTTCTTGACAGCTACACATCCTTTCAGACTCATAGCGCTGAGTTGTCTTCTCACAGTGGACAGGAAAACCTGTCAGTTTTTCAGATCGGAAGCAGCTTGATTTTCTCCTCTTTCTCAAAGATGAAAGCTTTAAGTACTGTTTATCTGGTGCCAGGTTTGGTGGTCTACCAGGTCTTGTTACGGTTGTCAGGAGTCCCAGTTTCTCTTGTTCTTAGTGGCCGTTTTGGCTAAAAATGGTTTGTGGATTTTCTATGTGAAAATAAGTATTGCTATAAATGTATGGGATGTATGTATATTCCCTAACAAGATGTAAAAATGTGTGTGTGCCTGTGTGTTGCAGCTGGGAGAGTGTGTGACTACAGATGCAAACCCTCCAGCGGAGATCATCTGGCTGAAGAATGACAAGACCCTACTGAACGATAACGAAAGTGAGTTGACACCGTCAGAATTCAGCCACTGTGCTGAGTGCTTCTGAGTAGGGTGGTACATTTTGGTGATGCCTTTGTATGAGTCTGCCTTTAATGTATGATTGGTATGTGGGTCAACTGTGTGTGTGTGTGTGTGTGTGTGTGTGTGTGTGTGTGTGTGTGTGTGTGTGTGTGTGTGTTTGTTTGTGCAGCGGTCATAATCACCCTCACCACAACAGCGGACCCAGTGACCGGTTTGTCCAGCACTAAATCTAGTTTGCAGTATACAGCAGGGAAGCAGGACATGACATCACAGTTCACCTGCCTTGTGAGACATGTGACCGGTCCAGACCAGGTGACCGCACCTGTGGCCTTCAGCATCCACTGTGAGTACAGATAGCAAAGGTTCCACAGGCCCAAGCACACTCATTTGCATCCACAAGTATAGCACACACACACACACACACACACACACACACACACACACACACACACACACACAGTGGAACATGACTGAAGAGAGATGCGGACTACAGCACCTCCTAGAGGTTCAGCGTTACTCACTGAACCAGAGCTCTTTTACATATTTCAGTCTTAAAGACACAGTATCAGACAGTCTGTTTAATGCTAAGCAAAAAATAGAGATTGTAAAAATGTAAAAGAGAATTAGGACTGTTTTTGGTACATAAAGCCACACAAACTTTGAAAATATTTTTAAATTATCTTAAAAGTCCTCTTTTAAGATTATTTACAAAAGTAAAATATAGTTTCTGCTTTAAAATATTATAGCATAATGGTGTTGCTTCTTGTGTCTTCAGTTCAGGAAACCAGTAAAATATTATTCTGCCTTCCCAACACAACAATATAATCGCCAATGTGGCGTCCAAGCCTTATTAAACTTGCCAAGCTATGACTGAACAATCAGTAATTATTGAAACGTGTGCTGTGATTGGTTTATTTGTTCCAGAGCAACAAGTAACAGTCAAGCAAAATTTATGAAAATATGAGCAAAAAAACTGCACACTAACTGCATTTGCGTCCTAGCTAACAAATAAACTTTACTCGGCACTGCCCTCTAAACATGATATCGCACCCAGTTAGATGATGTCTCAGTGAACGTTTCCTGCTTCTTTATTACATTTATCTCAACCCAACTGATGAAAACACTTCCAGTTCTCAATCTGCGGTTTGTGTCACAGTAATGAACTCTAAGAACTGAGGAAAAATCTATGATCATCTCAAATAATTGTAAACAGGTGATTACAACATAATTGTGAGAGGCCTAGTGGTCACAAAATCTCATATCCCTGGTAACTCATAAGCGGTAACTTTGTAGAAGAAAGGAAAAATGATCTTTGTTCTAATGAGATTTCCTTCCGAGTAATTTTGGACCATTTCTATTGGTCCATTTATCATGAAATGTTTACACAATGTAGAAAGCAGCTAACATTAGGAAATGTCGAATGAACGAACGAACAAACAAACAAATAAATAAATAAATACATAGAAAAAAAATAATAATTATTAGGTTTTATCAGTGCCAGTAGAAAAAAAATGTGGAAATCTGAATCAGTTGTATCAGTAATGATAATTCAGTGATACTGATGCCTCTACACCTCTTCCTCTGTCTCAGCACCGAGAGTAAGACAGACAGAGAGATACAGAGTGACAGAGACAGATCCCAGAAGCTGAATGTGTCAGGCTGATTCTGCTTCATCTCTCCCCCTCTCCCCTTCTCTCTCTCTCTCTCTCTCCCTCTCCCTCTCTCAGACCCCACTGAAAAGGTGAATTTGCAGGTGGTACCTGCAAGCACTGTTAAGGAGGGTGACAACGTGACTCTGAAATGTCAGGCAGATGGAAACCCTCCTCCCACCAGCCTCAACTTCCATGTCAAGGTGAGCCCACGTGTCTCCATAGAGAGCCCAGGCTGGATTCCCAAAAGCTTTCCAAAAAAATCTGAAACACTGAAAAGTTCCCTTAAATTTTCAAACATAAAACTTAAGTTCTTCAGTATTCTCTTAAGAAAGATCCTAATTTTGTCTGTCACTTACAAATTTTAAATTCTGATTAGGTATATATGACTTTGACACTCATTAGAAGTTACAGTTTGAGGCTTACACTCTGCTCTGTCAGCCTAGTCAGGGGTCAGCAACCTAAATGTTAAGAGGAGCCATTTTGTCCTTTCAATAAATTTTGTCATATTGGCTGTAAATGTGTCTCAGTATGTGCTCATGTACTATTATAGGCTAACAAATATAATATAAACGAAGACGCAGACTTAGTTTGCCCTGCTTTAAGCTTTAGCTCAGCTATAGCCGCTTTTCTTGCATCTCCAGCAGGAAACTTATCCTCGAGAGTAGAATAGTTTCCTGTAAAATGTCTCTTAATTAAATTTTTTACAAAGCTGAAGTCAACTTCTCATTCGGCAGCTTTTTGTTTGAATTTTCCCGTTCCACTTGGAACGGCAAAGATGGAACAGGGAAAATTCAAACAAGAAGCTGCCAAATGAGAAACTGAGTTCAGCCTCGCAACTTTTTAGTGTTTGACAGTTTGCAGATTAAACATATCAGCTGAGTTTTTATGCAAATAAGTCCATTCATCTCCAAATTATTGATGTTAGTCTTAAATCTTTGCCGTTTCGTTAGCTACTAGCTAAGTGAGATTGTTGTCTGTGTTGCTATGGTGACCAGCAGTCTGCGCACCAAACTTCAGGGTTGAAGGGTGAATTAGCAGTTCTGCATTAACTCCAGCATTTAAGACCATTAATTGTTAAAACTGTGTTAGAACGATCAGCTTTATTTTCCTGAAAGGGGGGATTATTTTATTTTTTACTTTAAAATCTTAAGTGAAAGCTAACAACCAAGTGAAAGCTGACGTAACATGTATAACTGAGCTATCAAGCTGCCTCATCTGTCTGTTTGCCTGCCGTTCATTGGTTTGTTAGTGCATCTGTCTATCCAGCTATACCAACATTCTCTGGATGCACATCAAGCTGTAAACTGAATATGAGCCTTACCTTATTTAAGGTGTCACTGCATATAAGGTGGATAAATGATTTTAGGGATTGGACACAACGGGGTCTACAACAACATAAGTAAATCCTGTTTCACTTATTTTTCTCAGCTTTCCTTGCACTGTTGTGTTTTGTTTAGCTGGCTGGGAAAGTTCTGAGGGATGTCAATCAAGCGTAAACATTGTAATAATATTAGGAACACATCTAGACAGTCCTCAGATAGGTCAGTTTAATATCATGTAAATATTTTAAATATTTTATACATTGGACTTTAAGTCCAACATATAAAAAAATTTAAAGATTTTTTTCTTAGTGATTTTTTGGCCAAAATTAAATGGACATAATTTCCCCAATATCTCAAATGTAGTCAGTTAATGCTAATGTAGTTTATCAGTAAGGCAGTTTACAACCACCTGTTAGCATTGTGCAAACTGCATGCCTTTATGCTACATTAGCCATTTAGCTTCACTACAAACTAAAGAGGCAAACTTCAGACACCAGACACATCAGTTTGCATTTGAATTAAGTGGATAACTGTGTACATTTTTGTCCAGACGTTTTTGTGAAGGGGTGGGTGCTTCTCTCTGGCACCCACCCCATATTTATTCTCTCAGACTATTTAATCCATTCCTCCTGTGTTACAGGGTAAGAAGGTTGCTGTGACCGGCTCGGGCGTGTACACTCTGTCTGGAGTGACCCGCGCTGACTCCGGAGAATACAAATGCTCTCTGCCCGACAACGACAAGATAGAAGCCACTGCGACAGTCACAGTGACCTGTAAGCACCTGCATTCTTCTCTTCTGTCCTGCTACTTCCTCTGTAGTTGTTGCATCTCTCTCCCTCTTTCTCTCTAAACCTCTCCCCCTCTTTTTTCTGCCTTAGTTCTCCCACAGCGGCTATGCAGGTCAATCTGCAAATTGGTTTTTGCAGGAGAGCGAACCCGCAGTAGAGTTGTCTGAACTTTTTCTGCTCTTTAACAGCCTCTTTTATGCCACAAATTAATGCGCAAGAGACGTGCTAATCAAATTTATCTCCGCCGGGGTCGGCAGAGGTGGGAGACACTGGTCAGTTGGACTAATTAGAGTTTGTGACTCGAGTCGAGCCGAGGCTACAGCAGACGGCTACGTTTTCACACCCGGCCCACACTTAATTACTCTCCGAGGTGTGAGCATGCGCGCGCGTGTGTGTGTGTTTGACTGTTTAGATGTAAGGGCTCTTCATAATGTGGTTTGGGTGATGGTTGGTTGCAGCAACATGCTTGTATTTCACACTGCCTCTACTGAGTTAATATAAATGGAGCAAAAGAAAGCAAAAGAAACAACAGCTCTCACAGATGGAGTGTGTTCTTACAGAAGGGTGGTGTGTGTGTGTGTGTGTGTGTGTGTGTGTGTGTGTGTGTGTGTGTGTAGGGTGGGAGGTGGTGAGCTGTTAAGTACTGTTGATATAAAAGACTGATGAGCATGAGAGACACCTGCAGTGAGAAGATACGAGACATATCTCTCTCTCGCTCTCTCTCAAATTCAGTTTAATTCCAGATAGGTGGCATCTTACTGGCATTAGAGATGGCACTGATCCGATACCCAGTATCAGTATCAGCCTGGTACCAGTGGAAAAATAACAAATCAGCTCCAATTCTGCAATAAATCTAGCATGAAATGTTGCAGAATTGCTTGTAGCCCAACATAACACAAACTGATGTAACTAGGTCATATAAAAAACATCAGTAGTTACATGTAGCCCAGTATTAGTGTAAGAACACAATATACAGTTGTAAAAGGTGAACTCCCCTGGGCAAATTACACATCTTTAAAAGTAAGTATTTGTCTGCAAATTTTAGCACAGCGTTCCTATTATTTGCTGAGTTAACATATTGGAAAAATATAACATATTAAATATGCCGTAACTTCTGCATGAGCCATGTTTTATGTTTTTGTTTTTCCCTTATGTTAAATTACGCAAATAAGCAGTAATCTTGCTTAAAAATGTGCAGAAGTGGGTTCTCTGTAGAGGATTACAGAACAGATTTTCTTTTAGAAAATCAACAAAGTGGTGCTCAAACTGTAGCTAGCAATAACATTTCATGCTAGATTGATTAGTTAAAGTTTCTTTTTAGCTGACTGTGCAGAAATATTTCACGCTTTAGGAGGAGAAAAAGAAAAAAATGATCACATGCCATCTGTAACTAGGAACAGGCATTTCAGTCAAATCAGATACTTATCATATTTATAAAGCATTGGGCCTTATAGGCTCCAGCATGTCAGACGCGTCAAGCGGACAACAGGAAGTGTCCAAAAGAAATGCGCCACTCAGCATCTTACTTTTATTTTATTATATTAAATTCAGACCAGATTAGATTCAGAGAAAGGCAGTCTTTAAGATGAACAGATACATGTTTAGTGTCTGTTTTTTAACCTCAGCTAGTGTTACTGTTCAGCTTGAAAACAGTTTGTGAAGAGTTAGGTAGTTACCAGTTAGGCAGATGTTTTATTCCATTCATTCTTGATAAGTAGTAAAATGAACTTGAGCTCATTGTTTATCTGCATTTTTCTGTTGCAGTGCTTCCTATGTGCTATAGCTGTGCTTTGTACTGTCTATTCCATATCTCACCTAACACTTTCACTACCTCTCTGTTACAGCTCACTATTTAACAGGCAAGATGATCACCATAAAGCTACCTGAGCCAGGGCTTAGAATTCATTAAAGAAAGATGAGCAATGATACAAAGCAGGGCAAAGACACTGAATATATACAATATACACAGCTCCCATAGCACCAATACATTTAAACATTTAAAAAGCAACTAAGAGACCAAAAGTGACAATAAGTCATTAATAATAAGCAGTATCTCCATTCAGAGTCTGTTGAAGGGACGCAGCTATCCCCAATAAAAAAAAAATCCACAGTCTTACCTTTAGTGACTTTCCAGTCTAAGAGGGAGCAGCTTGGTCAAACTTGACATTTTCCACAATCATATGTTAGTGTGATCCACATTGGGCACCTTTGGGAGAAAAAAGTCCACGGGAGTCACCGAAGTCCATGTTCAACTGAAAGGAAAAAGATCACTGGTGTTAATTTGAGTTATGCCGCCATTTTGTCTCATGCCTCTCGCCCCACTTTCTGTCCAGGGTTGCCAGGTTGTTAAAAAATGTTCAAAACACACCAAAATACATGAAAAATCACCCAAAAAGTATGTGTCTTTTTAACCATAAAATGAAATGAAAAGCTTCTGGGTATGTTAAGCACTGATGTCTTGCCTTTGAAAATGTGCAGATCAATCACTGAAATCACTGATGCGAAGATTCAAACAATGTAATTATAGTATCCCTGTCAAACATCTAGGAAATGCCTGGTTAAAAAAACTGCAACCAACTTCAATATAATAACTAAATCATTGATTTGTATATGTATCTTGCAGAGCTCACTCAAACACACTGTTTTCAGAATATTAACATTGTTCAACACATTGTTTTCAGTAGGACTTGCATGCAATCAGAAAGACAAATAAATAGCAAAACTATTGCAAGCATAACTATTCCTCAAACACATTTTTAAAGCTTGCTTACCTTTATAGGCTCTGCTGAACAGATTACTGGCCATATCAGTGTTCCTGTTATTGCACACTATGTACGGTCAGTAGTGTCATTTGAACTGGATAATTCGTGCCCGTTAGGCCTGACCGCATATGAATTACCTCAGTAATAAACTGGGTACATTAACCATGATCCAGATGAGCAGGGCAACAACCTCCTATTAGCAGGAGTGACTGAAATGTATGTCTGTCGGCGTTTTGATATCTGACTGGATGTGGGGAGAAGTTAGGTCTATTCAGATTTCAGCTGCATTATTAAGTTTTAAATTTATATATATATATATATATATATATATATATGTGTATATATATATATATATATATATATATATATATATATATATATATATATATATATATATATATATATGTATGTATATATATATATATATGTGTGTGTATATATATATATATGTGTGTATATATATATATATATATATGTGTGTATATATATATATATATATATATATATATATATATATATATATATATATATATTTATTTATCAAACCCACCAAAATAATGACAAACCAGTTCAAATTATGTCTACTTGCCAAAGCACTTTTTCCTCTGCCAAATCCAGCCGAAATACGCCCAATTTGGTGGGAACATGTCCAATCTGGCAACGCTGCTTCTGTCCAACTATAACCTCTTATTTCCTGCTTCCTCCTTTTGTCCAGCTGGAGGGTAGAAATAAAAGTCATTGTGTTGGACCTGGTTTTAGCGTTATAAATAAAAGATACAAACAGTAGTAAAGTAACTACTATAAGTAACTTTAAGTTACTCTGACTCATATTACATGCATTATTCTTTGTCCTTTATCTGCATGTTTGTTGCAGCTTGGCGCTTCATGTTCATAGTGCAGTAGCCTGAAGGAACCATGGCTGCAGTTCTCATTCTATGCTTTGTTTATTGGACTAAACAGATTAGAACCTCTGACCACCCCTGTTTTCTGAATAATGTATTCTGAATAAATTTCATCTAATGTAATGACACTATTAGATTAGTATTGAATTATAAAACTGTTTAAGGCTCTGCATTTGACTATTTCTGCTTTAAAGCATTTTCTTCTGATCTTCATGCTGCACTCTGAGTCCTTTTGTTCTGCCCAGAATATTGCCCCACTACAACACCAATTCACTGCGTAAAAAAGTCGTTATTGTTGAAATCTTTGTCTATAAAATGCAACCAAATGAAGATCTGCCAGTTGAACATCACCGGCTTCAGTTAACCAGGTTACACTTTATATTTTCCAAAACTGGGCTGTATTCTGCCCCTTACTAGACGAGGCCAGCAGCAGCTAATAGGCGTACTCCTTCAGTTATTGTGGGGAAACAATATCGCAAATTCAAACGTTACCAGATGACCAGATGGAGTCACAGTAAAACTGGATATAGAATTAGAGCTATATTACATAAATGCCTGTTGTGAGCTTCATATGCCTGTCGACTTTGTGAGTTATGATCATTAAATGTTCGTCACATCACGCTTCACTGCACATAGGCCACACCCCTTTACTCCTGTTGTACATTCGAATGATGTCATTCATTGATTTGCAACTGGAGTGCGTCTTTAAAAATGAGAAGGTAAAACGTTAGAGAGAAGGTAGTTTTCTTCTAGCTTGTGTTTTTTAGTTGGTCAAACCAACATATAACTGAACTTCAGCAGCAGTAATTAGTAACAACAATCATGTTAATACAACAACGACAACATATTAGATGATGACACAATAAAGAACTCTTTCTCTTTGTCTCTCTCAGACCTGGACCTGTCCCTCATTCCCTCAGGAAGAGTGCTGAAGAAGTATGGAGAACCCTTGGAGGTGAAGGTAGAGAAGAACTCCTCCAGTGAACCCACAGTGACCTGGACTAAGGTGAGAATACCACCCTGCCACTCTCACCCTGATCTGAGAGCAGCCCTGACATCAAAAAGTGCACATAGTGCAAATCTGCAGTCATTTGAAAGCTGCATGAAGACGTATATAGAGCTGACAGGCTTCAGGCTACTAGAATTTGCATAGTTGAACTATAGTCTGCTGAAATGACTGTAGTCTGAAGTGAGCAGTGAGTTTTGGTCACAGCACTGACCATTGTGCGTAAGGCATGAGTGTGTACCTGCATAGGTTCATCTGGATGAAGTTGCCACAACTCTCTTCTTTGTCGTGTGCACAGTTTTGTTCTATAAAGCATTTAATCTCTATATTTATAGTAGAGCTTTAGTTGGGCCTGAGATTTTGGTCCAAACCTCAATACAAACTGAAAACTTTGTCTGAAGTCTGAAATTGACCCAAGCTCAACAAAGTTATGTTCGAAAGTGGCACCAAAAATGCAGAATAAAACCTCACTTACTTAATGATAACACTAGTTAAGCTACCGTATAGCGACATTAACAGCTGTCATTAGATCACTGATAAATACATTTCACTTGAGCAAATTTCAAGCACTGCTTCTGATAAACCTCCCATAATGCACTGTTCTCACACTGTGCAGTGGTGATATAGGAGGATGTTAGACTTCACCTGTTTAATCCTGAAGCGCTTTCTGTACGGAGGACATTTGCATATAACATAAAAATATATTTTTGGCCAAACAAATAAAATATAAATATAATTTTGGCTGAACTAAACTGCACTCGCCTGAATTGAATTCTCCTGAATGTGTTATTAACCTCACATCTACCTTCTCATGAGGAAGGGCCTCGTGGAGTGCTAAATTCGGTCAGCGGCACAAATGAGTCCAGCATGCCAGATTAAAATTCTGGTAATGAATGCAGGAGCGAAGAACAAAGTAGAACAACTAAAGCAGGGAAAATACAAGGTAGAACCTCTTAAAAGTGGGAGGCTCCCTGTGAGAAAGTGAGGATGTGTATTTTAACTACACAAGTCCATCATACTTCACAGAAATGTTCAATTCAAGAGGCCTATTTTTAGAACCAAGTTTACGAGAGAAGCCTACTTGACTAAGAAGAGAATTTGCTAGAGATCCACGACTTTATAATTGACAGGTTCATTAGCATACTGGGTGCTTGACAGGTACGCCTCTCAAGCCAGTGAGGCGCTGGTGAAGGGAGCAGTGTGAGATAATTTGTGCAGTGGATTTGAATTGTTAGAGATCCAAAAAGGACTGTATGTGGTTTTATACTTTAGTTAAATGGCTGAACTGTTATTCCTTCGGCAGGACAACGGCAAGCTGGACAAGCAGCCCGACTTCTCAAAGCTAACATACGGCCACGCGGGCCTGTACGTGTGTGAGATGTCTGTAGCAGGAATCAAACGCAGCGCCTCCTTCCATCTGGTGGTAGAAGGTAACACACTCCCTAACACACTTCATCCTGAAACACTCACACAGACAGGCATGGATTCAGAGCCTCGATAGGAGCAGCTGCATTTTACCCAATGGAGCCATATTTATTATTTATTATATTAACTTTTTTGTATTTGTTTACATTATTTTAAAACACTTGCTGCCTTTAACATTGTGTGAACTTTTCATGTTTAATGGACTAATAGAAATTATTCAAAGAATAAAATCTCATTACATGAATCTGCATTAATTTAAATTGTGTTTTTCACCTATAAAGTTAATGTTTCTGAGATATGAGGTGTTATTAAGAGAGTGATGCACAGAGGACAAGCTGTGAATGTACTGAAGGTTTATATGATGCGCTCTCTCTCTTTCTCAGGTATCCCTGTGATTACGAGGTTGACTAAACAGCGAAGCGCCGACGGAAAAAACAAGGTGCTGATCTGTGAAGCAGAGGGTTCACCGCAACCTAACGTTCAGTGGAGTGTCAATGGAACCATTGTGAGTTTCACACAATCTCACACCTCGTCCACATGTATCTGGAAATTTCTGAAATGTTTTGTTTTTCAAAAACGTCCCTGTCCACACTAACATTGATTTTATAAGTTGTTTGCATGAGAATGCAAAAATGATTTAAAAGCGCTCACATAAGCATGCCAGCCCAGGAGGTGGCGCTCATGTGTCTGAAAATTTGATGTCAAACCAGAGTCGGTTAATGAGGAGCCTGGCCTCTTCCTATTTCCCCTGTTTTTTTAAAAATAGGACTGCAAAACAGCAGAGGGCGCCAACGAGCAAGTCCTCAATGAATGGGAATAAATGGAGCTCAGCAGCTAAAGACAAAAAGTTAAAATAGCTTCTAATCACTCGCCCAGAATTTTCTTTTAATTTTAGAAAGTAGAAGGATGCATTTCATTCAAAAAACGAAGAAAACTTACCTATATATTTCCTATTTCTATAGCAAACGGGCTTTGGGCAGCAGTAAGCTAGCCTTACTGCTACTGAGTGCTGATTGGTTGGCAAGCAGAGCAGCTCATTGGCTGTTCGCGCTCACAGACGTCATGGACGTACATGAGGCGCCGTTTTAAACTCCTATAACTCGAGTTTAAAAGCTCTTAAAAATATAACAGCGGTGTTAAAATGTTTTATGCTGTTCTGTGTTCAGGATATTAATGTATTCTTTTACATTAAAAATGTTTGAGCATTTATAAACTATGATTTTGCTCCAATGCTCCATCTTACCCATTCATTTTGGACTCGCTCGGGTACGCCCTCTAGTGTTTCAGAAACCTGCTAGACATTACAGAGTGGTAATTATCCTCACTACAAGTTCTCAAGGTCAACCCTCTTAAAAGGAACATGATGGGCATGTGTAATGCATTAAATATGTTGTTAAGAGGGCATGATGAGGTCAGTACCACACTGGCTGTGTTTAAAATGTTAAAGAAAGGAAAAATAGCTAAAACAAAAGGGAATCTATATGTGTGAACTGATGATGAAGAGGTAAAATTAAAGCTAAACCTAAAATAAATGTAAATAACCCAGTATTACAGACCATACTGAAACAGTCCAGTCAGCTCTTAAATTCAACAAAGCAGAGTTTGATCCCTGGTGCTGCCGCTGCCATCCGTGACTGAGAGTTTAAGAGAGCATAATTGGCCTCTCTCTCTCTCTGGGTGGGTTAGGATGACCCTCTCTCTCTTAGCCAACGCAGATGACTGTTGGCTAATGTAACAGAATTGGAAGTTACTGTTTTCCTCCATGCGTGCTGAGCTGTCCAATGACTGCATAAGCAACAATTTAAAAAGATACAGTGGCGTTTGACGTGGCATCCAGATAAAAATAATTAGCATGATATTTTCTAGTTAAAAAATTGAGATTATCGATAATATCGCCCCCGTCTTCTTTCGCCTAGGTCTAGTATGTAAGTGATCCTGTGAGAGCCCCTCTTTCTCCCTTTACTTTCTCTCCTCTCCTCCTCTTTTCTCCACTCTTTACCACGTCTTCTGGTGTGCAGCTGATGCTGCTCTGGCTTGGCCTCATTATGAATTTGCACTGTGGCTGAATAACGAGCTGAGAGTTGCCAAATGGGTGTCCCTGATGTTGGGTCAACGAGAAGCCATCCAGACTTTTGGGTGTGTGTGCGTTCTCTGGAAGTGAGAGTGTGTATTAATGAAGGAATGTGAACTGTATGGTATATCAGACGTCTGTGTCTAAGCTGATGTACAGCTCTGCTATCACTCAATATCACACTCCACACCAGTCAGAGACGTGCTGCCAGTGCCGCTGCTTAACATTTTTTCCTAGCTGTGCTTCATAGTTACTCGCCTATGAAAATGAAAGATATATAGACTCTCTGGCCACTAGCTTTGGGTGATAATAATAATAATAATAATAATAATAATAATAATAATGTCCAGTATTGCAATAATTTAAACAAGTAACCGTAATGCAAATGATAATTCTTTAGTGTATTTATTCATTTATTTATTTATTTTAAATGCCTATATCCTACATTTTGTCTTCATTTCATGTTTCAGATTCACAGAAATCTGTTTTAGAAGTTGGCTGCATTTTGTGCTTCTCATGATCCAAATAGTCCCAAACACATTCAGTGATGTTCTGGGCTCTGGGGTTTTCTTTATATCTTATTAAAGCAATAAGCCACGAGAGTGCGAGGCGGAGTGTCTAAAACTCCCTTCCCGTGATAAAATCACAGTAACGCACAGCCTCTAGTGGCTTATTGCTTTTATAAAACGGCGGCCAACATAAAATATGATAAAATACACGACTTTTCAGAAAATAATTTGTTATTATTGACATAAACAAGTATTTGGCCAAGAAATGTAGTTCCTTTAGAGTTTGGTATCGTTGCCACGCAACCATGGACGGCTGAATGAGCAGAACGTTTGGTCACCCATCTCTGTATACTGCAGTCATTTCATGATGCTTTTTTTTGTCATGTAAGAATGAACTTATGATAACACAGCACTGTTTAATGCAAAAACCTTCGCTTTATAAGTACTTTTTGGTCACCAAATTAACACCATGAGTCTCATTTAACACCAGTCCAGCGGCGCTGCTCTTCTGGGGCTGAATCTCAAAAGTCTCCCTGCACCCTACAAAGTGCACTACGTAGGGATTTAAATAGTAAATTCTGCACCCCAAAATATAGCTAAGAAATAGTCATTTGGGACAGATCCACACTCAATAAATGATGCATTATTTGGCTGTAGTGGCTAGAATTTCTAAACTTTCATAGCACACTATTTAGGGAGTACGGAGCTGTTTGGGATTCAGCCTGGGTTTGATGGTACAACTGACTGAAACACAAACATTTGAGGCGCGTTTTACAGTTAATCTTACCACAAGTGCTTTAATTCAAGTCTGTGATATTAATGATGGAGTTGTTTAGTGTGTTTGCTATCTTTTAGCCTGTTAGCTAGCTGACCAGCCTCAGTACACTCGGTGCTCCACATGAGCAGCATGAGAGTCAAAGATTGTTCCATTAACAGCACAAGGGTCTTTTCATGCCGTAGCGCAGTGATACAGAGTTCAGTTGTTGTGAAGCGGTCACAGGTGTGGTATATCCTGGATTTTACAATGGCCTTGAACACGGCTCAGCCAATCAGATTCTAGGACTGGAACTGTCTGTTTTATAAGAAGAATTTTTTGAACTCCTGTTTTGGAAACTCCCGTTTTTTGCTTATTGCCTTTGGTGTTTCCTCTTTCTTTATGCAATTGATTGTCATTATTTATCTCAGATATACTGAATGAAAAATGAATAACTCAGTGGTGGGTAATCATGTCCACAAAGTAAAAACCCTCACAAGGATTTTGTTCCAACAGCCTGAACACATCTGCTGCTGTTTTGAGCAAAACAGAGAAGCCTTTGGACCTGAATAACCCACCTCTACTACTCAATTGCTAGAAATTAGATAAATGAAAGGTGGTCTCTGACTTGCTCACTGTTGTATATGACAAATAGACCTCATAAAATGAATGAGTGTAGATAGAAAGTGTGTGTGTGTGTGTTGTTTATTTTAGTATGTTACATTTTTATATGGGTTCCCAGTTCATTCTTATCAACATATATCCCTCCTGCCAGCCCTAAAACACTTCCCTCCCCTAGCACTGCTTTAATATAGCTCATCTGAGCTTATTCTCATCAGAATCCTCTGGAGCACCCATAGATACAGTACACAATACACTGCTGAAGTCATTACTGAGCACTGTGGTTGTAACAGTTCTCGAGCATTCATATTCTACAGTGGTGAGTAGGCGGGAAGCTTTTATGAGGTATGGATTTCACTGCTGTGTAGAAAAGTAATACATGGCAAAGCAGGGTGTGTGTTAGATTTGTGTGAAGCAGCACAGTGATGGCATTAGTGGAATGAGAGCTGTGTACTGTCGGGTTTGTGCAGGGGATGAGCTGTGTAATGGCACTAATGCTGGAGGGGGTTTGGTAATTTGAGAGCACAGTAGTGTGCGCAGTTTAATAGCGGCCTGATTATTGGCTCTAAGAAGTTTAGTCACACTGTGCTAGTGCCTTTCCATCCGTGTGTGAGTGTGTGAGTGTGTGTGTGTGGCTACTGTCAGCTTTGGTTGTGCATCATAAACTGGCTACAGGAAAACGGCAGTGAGGTGTGGCCCTCTAGTGGCCATAAATTGAGTTGCATCTTTGCTAATGATCTCACTGTGCTAATAAAATCCTATCAGTTACTTTTTCAGTCCTTGTTTTAAAGCCACAGCGGAGCTAAATCTGTGTTTTCTTTCACAACATACATGGGTCATTCTACAGAAACATCCATTTTTGTGTCCCTAGCTTTTACAGATATATTACACTTGAAAAACATGTTAGGGTTACAATTTATTTATATTTTAAAATAAAACAATAAGTTACACCTTCTTGAACCATCAATTTAGCAATATTGGTTTTAAATCAATTATATAGAATTCCAAGCACCACAGAAGAGCTCGTCCTCAGTCATGTGTAAAGGCTGAGGCCATATATTGAGGTAAAAAAAACATGTTTTTTCTGCAGTTTTAACTGCAATAATCTTTACATGACTATGAAATAAATTATTTAACATACACAAAGAAAACAAATGTCAAATAAATATTATAAAATATATAATGAAAGTTGTCCCCAGGAGTCATGTCACTGGTGTTACTGTGTAAAACTCTCTTATTTTGAAATAAAAATCACCCTGATGACATCACTTGACTTCCTTTTACCTGTTTTCTGAGGATCTATGAAGAAAAGCACATGGTGAGTCCACTGTGTCTTTCAGTTATCAGAGATTTTCTCTTAGCTCATGATTTCATATGAAGCTTTTAGCTGAAGTCACTGGTGTGACCGACTTTATTCTGAAAAAATAGAATACAAATGGATTAAATTACATATTTTCGTGGATATTCCATGACTGACAACATGTGGTTTGATGCTCTGTAGCAGCCGTTTTGTCAAATGCATTTTTCATAAAAAATGTCACTGGTGTTACCTTTTCCACTGACGATCGGTAACACCAGTGTCTTCTATGGAGTGATAAAATAGTGGACGATTCTGTAGAATGACCCACATACACAATAGGCTCTTCAAAAAACTTTCCAGTCCTACTAAGTGGCCAATGTCTTTTGCAAATATTTCCTCTTTCGGGATAAACTGGGTATAATCTGGGTACCCATATAACTTTAAATAAACTGTTTCCCTTCGGGCTCTTTCTTAAAGAAACTTGCTAATGACCAAGCGGAAACTAACCCAGCAAGTGTACCTGAGTTATCAGGACCACACCCAGTCACTTAGGTCTGATAAGCTGTTGTTAAGCATTGTTGTGTTATATTAATAACTTTTTTTTTGTTCAAACTTTGCTGGATGTAGAAAATAACACTTTGTTTTAGTATCATATAAAACTATTTTTAATATTAAGATCGTATATAATATTCTCAAGACCTTCTTTGACTGAATCACATTCTTGTATCTCCACAGTGGTGCTGTTATAAGAAAAGGGTAAAAGTGCTCTTAACTTTAATGTCTGTTAATGTAAATAAGTAGTTTTGGACCGTTTTGTACATCATGAAATGTTCACACAATGTAAAGGGCAGTTACAACATAGTGATGTGGTTTTCTTATGACCACAACGATATACTAGTGTTTCTGGAGAGCACATTTTAACCCTTTTGTTTTTCTTAACTTTTCCAGCAGGTACAAGCCGTTCTAGTAGGTCTGACCCATTCTCCGTTCCATAATATTGAATGGCTCTGGTTTAATATGGTCAGCCGGTTTTGTAATGAAGACTAGGCAGGGATGTACGTCAAGGTATGAGATTTGTCTGATTGTGTCTCTGTTCCTTTGCAGGGTGAGAGCTCATATGTCAAAGGAAAAGCCACCTACAGACTGACTGTCGTGCCCAGCACGAACCTGACTGTCACTTGCCAGGTCACCAATAATTTGGGCTCGGACAGCAAGACCATTAATGTGTCATCCTGTAAGTACTGAAGACCTTAAGCTCCTGCTACTGGGTTTATACTAACCAATTTAAAGAGTTTATCTAACCTCTGATTGGCAGACACACACACATACACACACCTCTCCGTCAGTGGTCTTCTGGGAAGAGCAGTGACATTATAATAAAGACTAGACAAGTGTAAAAAAGAATAATACAGTCAGGGAGTATAGAAATCCATGCACAGGATAACTATGAGTTACAAGTATGAGGTCAGTTTGACGGTTAAGTCCCTGACATACACCAGGCTTTAAACGCACTGGCCCTCATTCATCAAAGTTGCAGAGAAAGGAGTGCAGGTCTTCCCCCCGTTTATGACATACAGACTACTCTGATTCATCTAATTTTCATATGATGTAGAAACGAGCACAAATGATAAAGCAGCTTCAGTGAGAGAAATCAAGTGGCAGGTACCAGTACCTAATTTACATATCATTTACATAAGGCACACCCCATGCATATGTTTCGCTAAGCTGGTAATAAAACAACAGCATTCGAGGCTCGCAAACAAATGGCTGTGTGTGCAGTTTGAGAGTAAATGCACCGCTCGCCCTACTGGCCAAACTTCATAGTGTTAAAATTAACACGACTGAAAAGAATAAAATGTGAGAAATAAAAACATAAATATTGTTATTTTCTATTTTTATTCTTATTATTGCTAGTAAAGGTGATACTTATATTTTGGTCAGTAAACTCAAGCATTTTTTTAGGCTGTTAAACTGCTGCACTCAAGTTTAGACACCAACCTACCAGATGTGAGTTTGATTGTACAGATATGCCAAAAATGAAATTGATAAATAACAAAACTGTCAGTGAAATTTGTCATTTTACGATGATTTCTGTACGCAACTTTGATGAATAAGCGGCAGAGTCTTAAAATAAAACGTGGTTGTCTAAGTGTATGATGGAAACATGGAGATCAGAGCTCAGAGTGAGTGTGTGTGTGTTTGTGTGAACACTAATGCGTTACCACACAGAGCATGAGTTCTCTTATTTCTATCTATCTATCTATCTATCTATCTATCTATCTATCTATCTATCTATCAGGGATGTAACAATACACAAAACTCAAAATTGATTCGATACAATGTGGTGGTGTCTCGATATGATACGTTTTTCAGTAAAGCAGAAATAAAGAGTGCCTAAAAATGTGCGTTATGTTCGTACGTTAATGAGGCAGAGCACAAATGTATTAATTCTGATGTCAAGATTCAATTCGATTTTTCGATATTTTGTTGTGGCAAAGGTGCTGTGATTCTGCAGTGCTCTGATTATATAATGCACAGATTGATTTGGCTCAGATAAGTTCTCATTTTGTTCTATCCAAAAAATAAAGCTGAAAGTTTACAGCCCCTATAATGTGTAACTGATTTATAAAAAGCTGAGCATGTGGGTGTGTACACAACATCAGCCCCTCCCCCTCCCTGCCCACTTCACTCTGACACACCTATGTGTTGACAGCAGTTTCCATAAAAGATGGTCGATGTGAGACACATGAAAGATTTCATACCTTGTCAGCGATGCAGTTTCAAGTTACGATGTACTGTTTTAATTTAGATGATTTGATATGTATTGAAATTGTTACACTCTTACTGTTTATCTGCCTACCTGCGCTTCTATATAGCTACATGTCTGTCTAGCTATAGCTATTAGCTTAGCTATCCATCTAGCTGTCTATTACAGAGCCCTGCTGGTGACATCCCACATGAATAAAAATAATGTGTGGCCACTTAGCAAGGCGTGGGAATTAGATAATTAAGTTGTGGCCATGACTTAGTAAGGCATGGGAACAAGATCATGCCTTACTAAGTCATGGCCACACATTAGGGTCTCATTCCCACACCTTACTAAGTTAGGATCTCGTTCTAACGCCTTACTAAGTCGTGGCCACAGCTGAATTATCTTGTTCCCACACATTATTTTTATGTATCCAGGATGGCACCAGCAGGGCTCTGTAGTCTATCTATCCGTCTGTTTAGATATCTATCCTCCCATCGCCCTAGCTGTCTGTCTGTCGGTCTGACTAGCTGTTTAGCCATCTAACTTTCTGTCTATCTAGCTTTCGAGATCTGGGTTTCTGGTCCCGTTTGCCTGTGCTGGGGTGCTTGACTCTATCTTCTGTCCTTCTGCCTCTCAGGCCACCACTGCATGCTAGTGGTCTTCCTCCTTACTAAATGCTGAACTACACTGAGTAAGAAGTTACTGATTAAAATGTGAAAATGCATCTGACTTTTTCTGCTTTCTGAAACCACGCTTTGGTGGTGGACTCTTGGGAAATTTTGGCTTGCAGTGTTGTTATAGATTAGTATCCATTTGGTTTCCAGTTGCCTTAAATTTAATTTGATTTCATATCTGATTTCAGTAATAGACGAGCAGAAACAGGCTAAACAAGGTAAGAGTTTTTTGATTTCATTCTGTTGGTGTTTTAGTAAAACAGGCTTTTATGATAGCTAAAGATATGATAGCTAAGATAGCTAAAAATGTGCAGTTCCTGAGTTTGGTGAGGTCTGTAAGCCTCCCATAATGCTCTGCACTCTCTCTCTCCACGTGAGCCGCAGCCCAGCTGAACGTGAAGGGGTGTCAAGCATCCCAGCATTATGACAAACTTTCTTAATTTCACTTTTTTTGCACATCAGTCATTTATACTCAGAATCAGTGATCCGAATAAACAGTGTTGCACATTTTGTAGTTTTTTTGGACATTGAGTTTTCCTCCTTGTTAATCGGTGCCTCTCTGACCTTCCATGCAGACTTACCAGAGGACGAGGACAAGGCCAAGCTGATCGTGGGTGTGGTGGTGGGCCTCATCGTTGTCGCCGCTGTGGTGGGCATCATCTACTGGCTCTACATGAAGAGAAGGTACGTTTGTTCTCTGTGAACAAATGTGTCATAACTGTTTTGTAAATCTGTGCATTTCCAGGAAGCTGAAATCATAACTACGCATGTTTCTTACTTCGCAACGAGAAAAGACTCTGCATCGTTTTCTGATTTCACTGAAAAAGCTGTTTAACACTTAACATGAAGACTAACACAGTCACATATCTCTCAGACAAGGCAGCTGGAAGACAGGCGAGAAGGAGATGGGCACCTCAGAGGAGAGCAAGAAGCTGGAGGAGAACAGCCACAGGCAAGACGTTTAGATCAGCTCACACGACCCCTACACACTGAGAAGGTGAGCTCACAGCTCCTCTCACATCACAGCTGTCACAACTGTACCGTATAATGCTTTTCAAAGCTTAACCCTCATTACTCTTATTTCGCTTTACTATTCAAATGTAATTACTAATTGCATATTTATCATATTACATTGTTGAGCTACAAGTGAGAAATAATGAACTAAAGTCACTTGAGTCTGTGTTACTGTGAGGGGTAAGGGGTGTTTTTATGCACGCTGCAAAAGCAGAGCAGCTATAGACCGCAGTAACTTTCTGTCTCCCATTACTGTATATTGTAGTAATTTCATTTACATTTTTTGTCATAATAATGAAGACATCATAACATAGCAGTGTGTACTGCAGTCATTTTTGCTTTCCAAATTACCACTGCAATGATAGTGTTAGTTTCCACTGACGCCTCAGTGTTGTGTTAGTGTCGAGCTAATGGTGCCACAGATTAAGTTTTTCCACACTGGGTTTATTACGATTTAACATTCGAAGTGTAAACATTTCGTTTTGTTTTATTTGGATCGTTCAGTAAATGCTTCAGTTCAAAGCTTAACTCTCAGTGGTAACGGAGGAGCAGTTTAGCCTGTTAGCTATTTTTAGCCTGTAGTCTAGTTGTTAAGAAAATAAGTTTGGGGTTCCTCAGATTAAACAAAACCAGTTTCCTATTTCATCTGTCAGTTTGCTCAGTGGTTCATGTGCGCAGCGTAACGGTCCATTCATAAGATGTTTTTAGTGACTTTTCAACCAATCAGATTGTGAAACTAACAGTTGCATAATACTTGATACGCAGACCTATGACCCCTATGACCCCCCTGCGATCATCTTTGCAATGCTGCCGGGCAGTTATTTCCAGCCGCACAAAACCAAACTCTTATCTCTCTGAATGGGGAGAGACCAAAATACTCAAACCTGAAGGTCCAATTATGGTTTCAAAAACATATTTGGAATCACTGGTAAAGTCTGATAAATAATTTGGCTCAGTAACGCACAAAAACATGATTTTTTCAGGTTGTTCTGGCTACTGCACTTCTAATCTTAACCAGCAAGAAGATTGGCTGTTCTTTTTTTTTTGTTTGTTTTTTGAAGGCGGGACTTTCTCTTACAAGCTGTCCCTTTCAGATTTCAGCCAGTGACCGTCTCCTCCTTTATAACTTCACTGCCAAGACTCCCTTTACGCTGCAGCTAATTGAGTTTCAGCCTGACTTTACTCACACAAAAACACAAAACCTTTATGTTAGATAACCTCTATGAAACTTCTGTGACCCGTTTGGTCAGATTCTGAAGAAGAGTGCAGCCTACATCTAATTCTGAACCTGTCTTTGCCCCTAAGCAAGCTTTTCAGTCAGCTGTGACGACAGAACAACCAAACAGACTGGAATTAACCAGAAACAAACAAAAACAGTTTGTCAAACAAGATGAGCTGAAATGCTTTACAGACTGGAACAAAATGACATTCAAGTATTGAAAAAGCAGAACCTGTAAAGGTTACTATATTTTTTGGTGGAAGGATTTTCCAGTATTACAGCACATGTGACTCAGTTCAGGACTTTTTATTACAGGATAGTTAAACACCACCTATCCTGTAATACTCCTTCACTTAATTTAACAAGGCCTTCAAACACATTTGTAAAAGTAAAGCTCAGCCAATCAGATTTTAGGACAGGAACTATCACCATGCTTTAGAGACCCCCCTCCATAAGTGCAGTTATCGAGGGTTAATACAGAACACTCCCGTGGCTTTGTGGATTGTTTGTTTATCTATCGATATTATGGCTGTGATAATTTTAAGGCTTGTGAGGAACGCTGCACGACTGGAAATCTGTACTACAGAGGGATCGAGAAATAAAAGAATTCCTTAATAGGAATTGCTGAAGGTTACAAGAGGTTACAAGAAGGTTACTCTTGATTTACAAGAGTTAGTGTTTGAAATCTTCCCTCTGAAATGGGACCCTCAAATAAAAAGAACATCACTTCATTAACAGCTACTAGCGCTGCTCTGTAGGCGACCCTGCCAGTCTGCAGTGACAGCAGAGGAGGGTAAAGTTCAGCTCCTCACTGCTGGGCTTTAGTTACATTTAGGGCATCATATGACTTCAAAGAGGGGGGCAATTATTTATCACCCACCCCTAATTCTTCAGTGATATGAAGCTGAAGTCAGATATTCACTGGATTCTTGTTCTAATTTTCCCGTTCCACCTTAAATGGAGCGGCAGTTTTGACACTTGAATTGCCAGAATTAAGCACCATTTAAGGTGGAACAGGAAATTTAGCTAGCTAGCTACCGAGACATTAGCATACTACTAATGGTAATGGTAAAACTAACCTGTAAACCTGTAACCTCAAAAACCTCCATTTGGAGGGCCAAGTAGCCCTAACACTTCTCCCTTCCCCGCTTTTTCAACATGAATCGGGACACCCTACCCCTAGACGTGAACATGCAAAACGGAGGGGGGCCACGTGGTAGGGGCAAGGGGTGAAATGGGATTGGGCCTAAATCTGTTTTGTTTTTTGTAACAGAAGGGTTGTATATCTAAGCTTTCTCTTTCTCTCTCTCTCTCTCTCTTTCTCTCTCTCTCTCTCTCTCTCTCTCTCACAGAAGAGAGGCCTTGCCACACTGAATGTGCTGTACAACACCACAACATGTCTATCATCTGATCTCTGATGCCTGATTGGATGCAGTCGCTCCGGTTCAGGCTGCATACGTGCGCATCGCAGAATCGTCCAAAATACTTCCAGAATGTCGCAAAACCCTGACGAACAGTTTCCAGAAGAAATCCTCCACCATCCCTCCCTCCCGAAAGAAAAAAATAGCCACTTGTGTTGTAAATTTAGTCTGCACTGAAAACGGAGTCTTTCTGTTTTTATTTTTTTAACTGTTATGATTTGATTTTGTTGTGTTCCTGGTGAATGCTCTTGTTTCATGCGCGTTGCAGGTGTGGTGGGTTCGAGCTACGCCCTCCTCCCCCCCTCCTCCCCCCCTCTTTTTAGTAGAAAAAGAAGATTCACTGTACACTTTCAGGCCTTTGTAAATACGTCATAGCGAGCACATTCTCTTTGCTCAAAGCTGAGATTACTGTATAATTCAGGTTTAGTTGATGCAGGATTGAGCGAGCGCTCTCTCTCTCTCTCTCTCCTGAGTTAATCTGCTCCTGTGAAGCCTGCTGGGTCCTGGAGGAATGAAGACTTCACTGCTGTTACACTCTCTTTTCCTCAGTTCAGATCGTTTGCGTTCATTGATCAGTACTGCTTTAGGTTGCCGCCACCCCCTCCATCCAAAATCGATTTGATTCACAGTGGTCCGAGAAGCGAAGCTGATTGTCTCTGAGTGCTTGGAGAAACAGGTTGCTCTGTAGCAGTAGTTTTAGTAATAGTCTAGAGTTGTTTTTCAGTCGAAGATGTGTGAACTGTTGTTAAATGCAGGGGCGTGTCCAGGTGAACCCTTCGCTGGCCTTAATGTGAGTTAGTCTTGTTTCCATTGAGTTACTGAAAGCCTTAACAAAGTGACTGAAGGCTGTTCCAGGCCCAGACGACACTAACCCAAACACTAAATCCAGACCAGTTTTACCAGATTTATGGTGCAGCCATCAGTCACGATTGGCCAACCAGATCAAGAGGTACATCAATGTCAGCATCTCCACACAACGCATCCTACAGCCTTGCACACTGAGCCTCGACGCCGCCCTTTATTTATTTATTTTTCTAAAGAAATAGATCAATAGCTGAAGAAAGAAGTCGTGTTCAGCTCCTTCTTTGTTCCCTAAGCCAGAGAGGAGTCTCTGTGTTGAAGTGTATTGTGCTACACAGCTCTGTGTTTAAGATGAAACGTGTTGCGTGAGGAGTTTCTCTTGGTTTCTTCTGCTTTCATTTCTCACTTATGGATGTGCAGCTCATCTTTAAGGTATTGTGCTCTTTTGTGTGCAAAAGTTTGCACACCCTTGTTCAGATTAGTTTTGATTTTTTTTTTTTTAAGTATAAATAAGTTTCTACGATTTTAATGCATGATGACTATTTGCTGAATTTAAAAAATTGTTAAAAAAAAATAATGTTGCATTGTATGTTAATACATTAAATTTGGCAAAAAAATACAAATTCTGCACTAAAATGTGCAGAAATACACCATTTAAGTCATTCCCTCTAGTTAGCAGTTAGAATATCAACAAAACATGATTTGTCCATGGGGTGCCCAAACTTTTGCACAAGGCTGTACATCATCACTCGGTCATGTTCGAGTTGTTTTCAGGATATATATATATATATTTTTAGTTTCTTAGTGTTCCTCATGTGTGAGATGGTTGAGGTAGTGACCCACACTGTAGTCCTTGGCTTGTGATAGTTCTGAGACATTGCTGAGTTCACTGTGGTCTGAAGAGGTTCGTTGTAAATACGTCTGGTCTTCGTGTTTAGCTCATGTTTGGCTATTTATATTGTGTGAGAATGTGAGGTTAGCTACACTTCTGCCTGGGCACTAGTTAGGCATATTAAAATTGCCCCCCCCTTCACTTTATTTATACCTTCAAAATGTACTACTTCCACCACTGCAGGATGGATAGGTAACTTTATTTTTCCCCCGGTTTCTTTTCGTCTCTTTGTTCTTAAAGGCCGTGTTGAGGTACTGAACAGTTAAGTTTTAAATGTCACTGGATTGTTTTTTTTAATTTGTCATGCATAAGTTTATTCCAAACCATCAGGGCAGCAGTGAAACCAAAGAGGGTGATCGAAAAGAAGGCCATAAAGTGTTTGTAAATAGACTTTTGGTTTTGTACTTTTGTTGAGAATAAAGTGTACATTTTGAAGAAATGATGTGTTTTGTTGTTTTTCCTCAAGTGCCAGTGGTCAATAGCGGTCATCTATTGATTTTCTATGACGTGTTCACTTTTGAAGAAGTTATTTGTCGGCTGCAGTTCAGTGCTGATTAAAGTGGCTCGTCTTGGCCACTTTTGAATGCATATCGCTGTTGTCAGAAGAAAACCTCGCATCTCCAAAATGGTAACTTTACAGGAGAAGGAAAAAACCTACTTTACTTTTAATGGAAGTCAATGGAACCAGACTTTTCCCCAAGTAATTTTGAGCTGTTTCTTTTGTTCCATTCTTCATGAAATTTACACACAATGTAAAGGGTAACAGTTAATTTCAAATTATGTCAAAAACTGAGAAACGACAAAAATGGGAGGTTTTCTTCTGACAGCAGTGACTTGCTCACAAATAGAACCATCAAAACAATGATTTGTTGCTGTTTGTGATTTTTTTCCCCACCCCTGCTGGTCTTGTTTCTTCTTCTTTAGAGGACAGTTTCCAGGATCACATTTGGCCTAAACCCAGGATAAAAAGAACTTTTAAACAGTGAATCATCATTCCCACAGCAGTTTAGCCCAAGACTAGACTTAATCCATGTCTGGGAAACCAGCCATAGATGTCTCATAATGCTACAAAAGTTAAAACATTTTCATTTAAAATTTTACAGCAGAATCACTTATTATTATCATAATAATCAAGAAAACCATGAATTGTGACTTGAAAACAAGATTTGGTCACTTTTATAACTCATTCACTTTCTGGATTACTGGATTTCATGGATTAAGCCTTAATCTTTGTCTTAAAAGGCAGTGGCAACAGTGTTTCACTATTAAAAATCCATTGTAATCTAGGTTTAGGCTTAATCTGAGTGTGGGAAACCAGCTCTGAACTGAACAAATCAACACGTGCCCAACCACACCAGACAGTGATGTTAATACTGGCTTTTATAAAACATTTTCACAAGAACAGATCACAAGTTACCATCATTACTGAACAAAGAAAATAATCTCAGGATTTTCTTAAACAAAGTATAAATTAATTGCACACATTACATGATCCACAAGGCATTTTCCACTAAAAATGAACAAAATCTCATAAAAAGAAGAGGGAGGAAGAAAGTAAAATGAAAATCATCCCACCCTCTTCAAACCTATCAAAGGCCACTTTTCTTTCCGTTGGGTCAGACAGAGGTGTCCACTCTGCTGGAGAGTTGGAAGTTGGGAGAAACGGGGTGCAGGTGAGTGACCAGTGCAAAATAAAGCTTCAAGTGAGAGAGTACGAACCAGGCGCGATCTGATGAGGAGTCGTAAACGGGGAAGGATCAAAGCTCTCGTCTGGAATTGACGCTCAGAAGGCCTTGAAAGAACCACCCGATAAAGCTGAGAGTCACTTTGTAGTCGCTGTGCCCTCACTTCTGTGACTGAAAGTGGGACGGCTGGGATTTAATCATTTTTTTAATCACCCAATATGTGCCTTTCAATGTGGACCTGACGTAGCAGCTATTTGATCTGCTACAACCTCCTGATTTTGAAATAAAGACAGCCTGGAACGAAGCCGCAGGTGGAAAAGAAAAACGAGGACGAGTGCGTTTAAGACTCCTCGACCATTCAGGGAAGGCCGGTGATGATCTTTATGTATTTGAAGGAAGAGGCTAGTTCAATTCATTGGTCACTCATATCTGATCACTCCTCATTAATGTTACAGCCTTTGCTGTGTGAGATTCTTTGCTATAGACTAGAGGCAAAAGCCAGGAGACTAATTTGTTGAAGCTCCTTCCTCTGGACAGCTAATTTGCGTTCCCGGTCAAGCTCACCCAGAACGAATACATTCAGAGACCTTTCATTTGGCAACTGAGAGAAAAGGCAGGCTTGAACTAAAGCGTCCATTCACTCTGGAGTGTGCAGACCAAAAGGTCTAATGAAATCAAAGCCCTAATAAGGAATCACTGCTCTGACCTGCTGTAAGATCTGTAAGATGTTTAAAGGGAAACTCCAGCACTTCTCAGATCTGCCACATCAGGATCACATGAACGATTACAGAAAACACTTTCCCCGTCCTTAAAAATGAACAGAAAACTAGCTGACTCAAACCAAGCTTGTGCCTCATTCTCCATTTTCAGTGGGAATTCAGGTGGAAGCATTTTTAAAAAGTCTATTTCCTTCATCCCAAAACTGAATAATCTTAATATGTCCATTAACATCTCCTATTATCATGTATGCTAAAATCAGAGCTCAATTCTAAATATATTTTACAGTCACTGGTGTTGTATGAATACGGTGTAACACCAGTGACGGTGACTCCAGTGACATTCTGGCCAAAACTGAGGATTTTGTAAATTGGCTGACTCACTGACGGTCAGGTGACCTTGTGTATTTAAAATCAGTAATAAAAATGATTTATGGCATCATTTTGATAAACTTTTAATTACTCAGCCATTAAAGCACACAATACCAGTTACACATAGAAGTTCTGAGCTGCCTGATAAACAAAATTATTAATAAATGAATGAAATATAGTGAGCGAGTGTGACTCGCCTTCTCATGCCTTGAGACGCTTCCTCTCTGATGAGCCTCGACCCAAAGAGGCAGTTTAATAGAGCTGAAAATACTGTGTTAAAATATGAGTCCTGATAACAGCAGTGACAAATGATTTTTTCAAATAAAATACAGATTTTTTAAATGTAGTATAACGTTAATGATGTAAAACGTAAACATAGATCTGTTTTATACAAATTCCTAATTTAAACCTCTAAAAAATATTGATTTATGTTAAAAATGGTTTCTCAAATGTTGAAAACTGGTTTTGGGACGAGCTGTTTTACAGATGCAGAGCGGCTATTAAACAGAATAAAATAAGAAAAATCAGAGAAAACATAAGGGGTATTAAGTATTATTTAATCTTAGGTCAACTGTGTAAATGCACATAATATTAATTACTAATATTTTAAGTATCTTTTTAAGCCCTGCAACCAGTTTCCCACTGTAAATGGAGTAAGACCCTTATAACAGAGGCCAATGGGAAGGTGTTACAACATCTGCTCACTGGCTTGATTTACAAAAGTGTCTCGATTTAAAAAAGCTCTTTTACTGGACAGGGAAACACACCAACGTGAACACGTGTGCTAATCTATCGTACGCTAGAGGTGCAGCGTTTATGGACCAGGCTGGATTATTCCTTTACAATGTAAATATGTTCACCATGCTTTACTTTTAGGAAACTTCATTGTAATGTTTGGCAAACCTTTCCTGGCACTGATGTTACTGAGTTAGTAGGAGCTACTATACCAAGTTCTGCTGCACTGGACTGTCCCCACAGCTGTGCTGGACTGTCCTATGGCCACTCTGGACTACAAAGATAGCCCCTTCTGAGAAGTGCAAGACAAGCTGACCAAAAGCTGTTGAATTTTCAAGAGGGACCACAAAAATAATTAAATAAATATAGAAAAAAAAGAAGACTGGCACATAACACCACAATTACCGAGCTGCTGACTGTTAAAAGAAACAGTGTTCTGAGAAACGAGGCCTCTATGGAAATATGAAAACTATATGATATGATTTCCATGTGCAGCAGACTCAGACTGCCATTTGAGTTTGTGAAGCAGATCATAAGCACCTTTATGATCAAACGTAACCCAAACTGAACAGACCTCAGTGGGGGGGGCTTCCTCTATCTGGGCAAATCTATGAGAGGAGGGTGGCTGGGAGGCACTTCCTCTGGCATAGCCGAAAGCACAATCCTGTCCCCTTTGTTAAGCTGGATGGGAATTTAGCATGGAATCTGAGCTGATTGTTACAGAGCCTGACTGCGGAGTGTAAGCTGTGGTCATTTAGAGCCTTGCAGAGTGGACAGAGCCTGATTACAGCACTGCAAAAAGACTGCCTTCCTTTAAAGCTGCGAAAGGAGAGGTGAAACGGGTCACTGTAAAAGAATGCACTCTACTCTTCTAGCCGGTAGAGTTTGTCTTTTTCACTGAGCGTCATTTGAAGGGAGGGACTAAAGGCAAAGAAAACAGTGGACTGGTAATAAAACACAAAGATCAGACGGAGACGCAACTGTAAATGTACGAAAGTGTCTGCGTGTGTGTATATATGGGTATTAGGGTAAGGCTTGCAGCAGCAACAGCAGAGGTGGCAGGAGAGGCGAGAGCAGCCTGCAACACACTGGCAACACCAACAGTCTGGGTGGGGTTCGATTCCATTTCTGTTTCAATTCAGCCAATTTAAGCTCTACTTGAACACACCCAGCGCTCTGTAGAGCAGGGGTCATCTGTTCTGGTCCTTGAGGACCAGAGTCCAGTACAGTTCGCTGATTTCCCTGCTCAAGCGCACCTGATTCAACTCATCGGTTAATTATCAGGTTTAGTTGATGCATTAGAGCAGAGAATTTCACCAAACTGTGCTGGACACTGGCCCTCCAGGAGCAGAACTGATGACCTCTGCTGTAGAGCAGTGGTCCTAAGCAATTTTGGTGTTTGCCCAAATCTAACACACCCACTTCAGCTCAGGAAGTGCTCCTTATTAGCTAATTAGTTGGATCAGGTGTGTTAGCGCAGCAAGAACACCACAACAGGGGTGTCAGACTTGGGTCCTGGAGGGTATCAGCACTGCAGAACTCAGCACTGCACCTCATTTAAAGTGTGATTTTCACTCCTTTCTGCTTAATTTAATCACTGAGATGCAAACTTAAGTCATTCAGAGTGGTTTGGTGTACTGTAGAGAAACTTACCCGCTCTGACTTCTGAACAGTGGTGGTGATAGGAACCAGGGGTCGCAATATCTACAACACAAATATAGCCATTGCTATTCAAACCCACCACTAAACCAACACTTCTGAGCTTTTATATGCACGATTGATAGTGGTAAACTAGTGGTATGAAGTTTTTTTTTGGGGGGGAGGGTATTTTTAACGCTCAGAGGTGTTAGAAATTTGTTTTAGGCTAAAACCTGATCTCAAAAATATCATAAAACAATGTCTCAAGCATCAGACAGTGTATTCAAAACCATTTCATGTAATAACTTTCTGTGCGGGAGCTTTTAGAGGCATTAAACCAGGGACGCCCAACTTATCCAAGGTTGCAGGTTTTTATTTCAACAAAGAAGGAGCTCAAATCTTGTTGTCTGAAGACTGAAACCAGTCTGGAACCAGCTGATTAAACGAGTGGAATCAGGAGTGGTCCTGCTTGTTTTGAATGAAAACCTGCAACCACACCAGCCCTTTAGGGGTAAGATTGGACGGCACTGCATTAAACGCTACAGACATCTGGTTCCTATCACCACCACTGTGAACAAGTCTGATTCTAAGTTTCTCTAGAATGAACCATTTTATAACAAACCACTCTAAATGACTTTTCTCACGATGCTGTACTGCTGTTTAGATTTGGACAGTGTGAATTGAATGAGTTGAAAGTGAATGGACTGGGACCCAGCGGACAGCAGCAGCAGCTGCAGTAGCAATAAGCCACCACGCGGCACATCACTGTAAACACAAGGCTTTTTCTTTTCACAGGTTTCATGTTTGGAAACGTTAGCGCTCCTCCTCGGGCCTGCGTCCAGTCTTGCGCTCCCTACGTCCCAGACCTCGTTCTGACCCGGGGCAGGTGCTGGAGTGGCCCTGCGAGGTGCCCGTCTGAGGCCCACATTCTCAGGGCAGAGTCAAGACAGTCAGACAGAGAGATGGTGGGCGTTGGGCTACAGGTTCAGTCTCGGGGCCACCAGGGCGAACTCCCGCAAAATGTTCCGCGCCACGTCCACCTTGTTCTGGGCGATCATCAGGGCCCTCTTCACGTCGTCGAACGAATAGCCTTCACCCATCAGCTTGGCGATTTTTGCATCCACATTCTCGTGGGAGGACTCGGGAGGCCTCCTGTGCTGGACGTCTGGAGGGGTCTTCCTGGGGAAGGGCTTAGGCGGCCGCGCAGGTGCCTGCAGGCAGTCCCCGGCCACTGGCAGACAGAAAACGAAATTACGCTCCATTAAACAGATCATAAAGAATGAACGAGGCCAATCAGCTCTAATTCATCTCCAATTCTCAGTGGCACTAAAAGCATTACTGTCTCACTGTCAATAATTCATAAAGCCTGCACTCATCTCCACTAATGGCTTAACTAATATGCAAGTCCAACATGATGCACAGGCATGATGACAGCACATTAGTGGATCAGTATGTAATATGTACAGTTGAAAAGTACGCAACATAATACAATGTAAAAGTACATCACTGGTATATTGGTAGGATGTTGCCATACGTGATGTAGGAGGCAGCTGGTCATACTCTTGCGAAGTTCTGACTGCTGATTTTATGTTTTCCCCAGTGTGTCTTCGAACAGGGGGCAAGGGGGCTGAGCTATTCAGGACGTCCAGGAACGCATCTACACAGTAAACACACACACACAATTAGAGACATTCCCAAAGAGAGAGCATCACCAAAGCACTAAATAGAAAAGCAAGGATTCATCTCTGTTCTATTCCAGTTTGAGGCCACTTGTTCCCAGGAGGCACTTCAGAGCTCATGATGTCTAGGACCGACTGACCTATCCATGCTCTGCCCACAAGCACGTTCTTTCACAGCAGCTGTTGAAGTTTTACAACAAGCTGGCATAAAACTTTCAATCTAATGAATTTGGGCTGGAGGTAAAATCACTACAAACAAGTTTCCAGATTTTTCAAAGTAACTAATTTCCTACGATATAATCAAAGTCACTCAGAGGTTTGAGTTGAAATGCTCCATTCTAGAGCAATTTAAAAGGTCAGAACTGTTCACAGTGGTGGTGATATGAAGGGCGCCTGCAGCATTTAATGCCTTTAAAATCTGCCTTGCAGAAAATTACTACGGAAAATGGTTATGAACACATTGCCTGATACCTGAGACATTGTTTTCTGATATTTTGAGGAGCTTTTGGCCTAAAATTTTCAAATCTACTGATTTGATATTGAACAGATACATGCAGAGTGTTAAAACATTTTTTTCCAGATTCAAGCATCATTTCACATCAAACCACTCTGAAGGACTTTGTTTACATGTCAACGATTAAATTATGCACAAATGTACATAAATCAGTTGAACGTACTTCTTCTTGACCACTTAATAGAGCACTATATTTGTATATTTGTATGTTTATAACCCTTTAAATGTGTATTTTTCTGAAGCTCTGTAAAGCTTGTTTAACCTCACAACAGTTCAAAATAAATTTGTGGGCAGAACTTCGGTCAACTAGGTGGAAAACGGATGAAATGGACTCACCTGGGTTGAGGAGGAAGCGCTCGTGTCCGGACGTGGGCCGAGCCGCTCTGGAGCAGGACGGAGACAAGGAGACGTCTGGAAAGCTGTGTCTAACCGGTGGAGGAGGCGGGGGCTGTGAAGGAGGGGGTGTGTTAAACAGATCCTCGACTGTGGGAGCTGGAAAAGAAGAGAGAGAAGAACAGAGGATTCAGAACAAAGAACTGCGTTTCTCCCGTCACGTCACTAGATGGCGCTGAAACACCAGATCTCAAACGTCACCATCACAGTGTAGTACAGTGACCGAAGATGAAGCATGGATACTGCCACACGCTTCAACTCGGCAAAACTACATCCAACAAAACCTTAATAATGTAGGCCTTTGTAAGATCATGAGGGGATGCTGAATGGATGTCATTAGGAATCAGGTATTCAGCTGTGTGATTTATTAATGAATGAGAAGCTGCACTCAAATCTCAATCAGTAATCAGCTCATGGAATCCAGTATCAAAATTTAATGAAGGAAGGAATGAAGATGGCTGGATGAGCAATAATTGGTCTTTGATCAGCAAATCACCCAACAAAATATTAATGAAGGCACGTACAATCAGACAAAGACACACACACTGACACAGTGATGTGATCACTAAGATTACGCTGCTTGTCTTCAATTTCTAAAGGTTGTAATTAATGTACTGATAATCTAAAGCAAAGCTGTTTATTTATCAAATATAAACACTGTTTCATTCTTATAGAGTTGTATCCAAAGTTTGAGCACCCTGATCAAATTACGTTTTGTTGACCTTCTAAGTGAGACTAACCGGTCCCACTTTATATTGTCTCTAATAACTGTGTAGTTACACATGAATAACATATGCAACAACAGTGTAATTAATGACGATTTAACGAATGTTACAGATGGATTACAGAAGTACAACCTGTGTAATTACACATGTGTATCAATTTCAGGTTTGCCTTATGTTATTACACAAGTATATTTTTTTGATACACTACAGATCAGAAGACTTTTCCAGCAAGGAAGTATGTTTCACATAACATTACATTTATGTTTTACATAATTACTGTGGAATAACTGTGTTGTAAGAAGGTAATAATCACATAACACTGACTAATACCATTCTGTAATTACACAGTACCTATATAACAACTACACAGGAGTTACTGTAGTGTTAAAGTTACACTTTAAAGTAAGTGGACAGGTCCTGTGTAGTTGTTATGTAGGTACTGTGTAATAAGGGAGTGGTGATATCAACACTGCTTTGGAGGGAATGCAACATATTTAATTAATATAATAAAAGTTACGTTTTAAGATAAGGGGACATCAGCTGTACTGTTACATTACAGAGTGGTTTATATGTTAGGAAAGCTGGCAGACACAGTGTAAGTAATGTCTTAATGTAAATGATTACATACTTCCTTTTACTGCTGGGAAAAAAAACTGCTGTTCCAGTCTGATTACAAATCTAATTACTTTTGTGTTATTACCCTTGTGTAACTACATGAAAGATAATAGGCTGTTACAGCTATTAAGATACAGCTGTGTAATTACATGAGGCAAAACTGAAGTCGATACAAATGTGTAATTACATAAGGCGTCCTTCTGTAATCCATCTGTAACAGGGACTAAATCATTAGTAGTTACATTGTTGTTGCATATGTTGTTCACATGAAACTACACAGTTATTAGAGACACAATATAAAGTGGGACTGAAAAGGTCAAAGCAACCTCAACCGAAAACCAACCTCTGCACATTTTAATATACAGATACTGTTTGCTGAATTTCACATATTGGGAAAAATATTTTGTTTATTTGTTTCCAATATGTTAAACTCAGCAAACAAATATAAACTGTGCACTAAAATTGAAAAAAATGTCATATTTAAAGTCTTTTTCCTGTAAAAAGTTTAATGTTCCTTCAGTAGAGAAACTTATTTTCACTTAAAAAACTTAACTTCAATGAACGAAATATCCAATTATAGACCAACAGCAGAACCACAAACATAATGCAACAAATCACAGACCAGGAGGGTATTTCACACAGCAGGATTTCTCAGTTTAGTCAGAAGACAGGCATGTCCAATAGGAGGAGAGCTGACAAGCATGCTTGAACTTTGGGCTTAAGTAATCTGGCTAACTGAGAAATCCTGCTTCGTGAAATACCCTCAACACACAGTAACGTGTCAATAAAACATAAAAAAACACGGCAGCCAATCAGGTGCTCCTGAGAGAAGAGCCGTTGGCTACCTTGTGGTGGCAGTAGAATGTCGTAGTCTGATGGCGTCCTGTTGTTGTGGAGGGGACACTGTGTGGTGTGCGCCACACCCGAAAGCGACAAGCCAGAGTCAAACCCACCTGAGGAATATAACGCAAGGTTACGCTGCACCGACACCGAGACACGGCGCTGCATCACAGCCTCCTTCAGACTCACACAGAGCTCCAGAGAAAGCAGCACTCAAACTCAACAGCACTGTCACTTCATTATGCACAGCCACCAAGCACTGATTTTATTTTTCAGTCTCTTAGCGCACAGACACCCACACAGCCCCGTACAGGCAGTCATGCAGGAGATGGATATGACAGATGAGAGCTAGCTGAAGTACAGCAGAAGCATAACGAAGCTTACTGTGCTCGGGAGCTTTCGGCTTCTTCCCTTCCGAGGAGAGATCTGGAGAGCCGTTCTCTAAACCCCTTCAGAATAAAGAAGCAATGTGTTCATTTCAATGTGCTATACATGAGAAATAATTAGTAACAGTTCTTGAGTGTCATACTGTACAGTAGAGCTGCACGATACATCATTCGTTAATCACTACTGCGGCACCAGCTTTCACAATACTGAAGAAGGCTGCTTTATGCAAATGAGCTTTTTAACTAATCACAATGTTTTAGACTGTGTGCTGTCAGCAACCTGACCAATCACAGCTCTAGATGAGTGTCTCTCTGGGGGGTATTCATATAATCCAGGAGAAGTCATTTATGTTGATCAGAATAATGTAGACCAGTCTTTAAACCTGTCACAATATTGATTTAATGTGTTTTTAATACAGTGAACAGCTGAAAAATATTAAAGTTGTAACAATGTAATCACAACACCAGGATTTTGTCCATATCATGCTGAGACTGTGGTTGGTGTGTGTGTAGCAGGGCTGCACGATTAGACATATTTATATCATTATCGCAAGACAATTTTGCAAAACTGACACACTGTTAAGGGCTGCGATGACTCTCGCGGTGCAAGAGTGATCAAATTATATTGGTGGGAATGTAGCATTACAAGCTAATATTAGAGCAGTGGCATGATCTCCTGAGCCTGGCTTGATCCCAGGTCGTCCACATGTAGAGCAAGTGGAGTAGTAGACTTAACCACTCTGCTATAGAGCCAATTAAAAAGCACACGTGTACATCTTATAAACTGCTCCACTCTCTAAATATTGGCCTAAAGAAATACTTTAAACATCTCAGTGTTGTGTGTAAAATGAGTGAAGTGGTAATGGCTACTGTCACAACAAACTTGTATCACCATAAGAAGATCTGTAAGAAATTAAATATAGAACTTATTGTTTTTATAGAAAAATCATTTCATTATTTTTATTTTGCTTTGCACAAGACTGAATGGTGCATTGTTTTGTTTTTTTTTTTTCTTGAAAGTAATTTAGTTACATTTCTGTTTACATGGCAGAGAAAGTCTGAGACACTATTTCGATCATAATTTATTGTTTCTCATATTGTCCCTGCAATATCCAACAACTTCAATAAACAATGCATTTTATGACTGAATGGTGCATAATATGTTACGGGCATGTGTGGCATGTCTTGAGGTCATATGTGCATGGATTCAAACGTCTGAGAGGGAGTGTCAGTTTGTGTGCATTCATACCTGTTAGGAATGCGGACGGAGATGCAGACGGGAGGCTGCGTGATGCAGACGGGATGGGATGATGGGATCTGATATTCATCCTCCACTTGCTCTGTTACTGGCCGTGATCGGTCCAAACAGGGGCTGCTGAATGGGTTAGTAAACCTTCACAACAAACACAGAAACATCAACACCATTTCCTTTTGTTTATAACATTAACATCACAACAACATCAACATCTGCTCATCAAACACCTTTCAATTCAATTCTTAAAACAGATGTCGTCCCAAAGGAGCTTTAAAAATACAGGCCTCTAATGAGCAAGCAAAGGGTGAAAGTAAAGTTCTGGCAAAAGCACCACAAGTTTTGAGTGAGATGGAACAGAAAACAGATGAGCCACTGAGTAATGTCAGTACTCAACATAATACATAAGTCTCTTGAAACATTTCGCCAAAAAAAACGAACTAAAAGAAGTTTTGTTCACTAAAAAATAAGAGAGGACCAGCTAATTAGCATCATCAGATAGAAGAAGACAAGGCACTGTAGGTTTGATTTTTAAAACAATGTCATCCAACAGTGCAAAGTAAACCCTTAATTATCTCTGCCTCATGCCTACAACTTCAAAGTGAGTCCCTAGACTGGAGAGAAGTGGAGTTTGCAGAAAAAAGCGACATTCTATGGCTCATTAGGAGGGCTATGGAGCATAATACCACCACAGCGCACAACTGTCTGAACCATCAACAGAGCAGAACACGGGCATGCACACACACATAGGAACTACAAAAACCACAGAGTCTTAGTCATTACGTCTGTGGTAGTGTTGCACAAGGTATGGAAATTTGATGCTTTTGCAATGCTACATTAAGTATAACCCATTTTACATTTGTTTTAAACAGTGTGATGAATGCTGGGCCATACTGCATTTCCTAATCTCACTGTTCATCTTCCTTTCAGAACATGCTGAACTGAAATATGAAATAATATTTACATTAAATAGCTACTTGTATTGTTAAAACGTTTCATTTGAAAATCAGATGTTAGTTAAAGCTACACTACGTAAGATTTGGGGATTTGGAGACCTCTCTGGTGGAAATGTATATCTGCATGCAACGTGTGGAAGAACATTTTGTAATGTTGGTTGCGCTTTAGCCCTCTTCCCCGAGTGAATGGCTGTGTTTACATGCAATTTTTGCCAATCCGATTGAACACATTCCGATTATAGATTAAGACTGAGGTGTTTTGCTCACTCTACTCAACAATCTGATGGAAGATCTCTGTTTACAATCACACTAGAAGTAATCAGATCCAAAATGACACGCATGCGTAGAGTACAGCTTAGTGTAGACGTTACCATGACAACGAGCATCACGTGAGGTCCAGTCATAGTATCATTTCATATCTGAGGACTGTGATTCTACTCAATAGTGGTAACGAAGCCAAAGCTCTGGTACCGTGACAGCGCTAGCACTAGTCCTCTGAACATGCTCATTCGCAGTGATGAAAAGGTCTTAGAAATGTATTAACTGATGGGCTCTAGGTCAAAACCTGGCAGTTCTGGCTCAAGCAGACTCCCTCCTAATCACACTGGCACGGCTGTGGCTCCTCACTGGGGATAAACATTTATCCTGGCCTGTGCGGCTGAAAGGGCTCAGATTAGCCAGTGTAATCACATAAGCACCTATCTGACGAATATACAGAGCCATATATTCATATTCCATAAAGCATGCATTCGTTTTTTCTCTGTTTCTTGCCAAAATAAATTTTCTGGGCCAATGATCAAATGTGATGGATGGTGTTTTTCCCATCTATACATCACAACTCCAGTTATATTTATGTATTCAGTCTATTGTAAATACACCCCACATTATGGTCAAACTAAATCACACTTTTCTAAAGGTGTTTGATGTATTATGTAAAAAGTACAGTTCTCATATATAAAACTAAATTAGTTCTGAATTAGGCTTATTTTTGTGATGTCATGAAAACCGACACACTTACACAAAGTCGTGTGCCAAGGTTTGGGTGCCCCTGTTCTAATTACATGTTTTACAAGTCAACACATCACCTACAAAGAACACTCGTACATTTTAATACACAATTATTGTACATATCGCTGTTGCCAGAAGAAAACCTTGTATCTCCAAAATGGTAACTTTACAGGAGAAGGAAAAAACCTACTTTACTTTTAATGGAAGTCAATGGAACCAGATGTTTTTCCAAGTCATTTTGGGTCATTTCTTTTGGTCCATTCATCATAAAATTTACACAATATGTAAAGGGTAATGGGTATTTTCAAATTATCTAAAAAACTGAAAAACATCAAAAATGGAGATACAAGGTTTTCTTCCGACAACAGCGATATGCTGGATTTAACATACTGGGGGGAAAAACATAAAATGTGGACTGTGCAAAAGGTGTGGCAGTGTTTATGGTTTTGTTCCTAATATGTTAAACTGCTCAGAAATTGTGCCCTAAACCTTGCAGAAATAGGCATATTTAAGTTTGTTCTCTATAGACTACGTTTTCATCACTTACAAAATCTAAACGTAATTTGACCAGGGGTATTCAAACTTTTGCACATGACTGTGTATCTTCGGCCCACAGTATGTTAGCTTCGCCCATTCTAGTTGAAGTTATAAGAAGTGTTTCATCCCAGAAGACTTTTTTAATAGAGGCACAATGGCAGGGCAGCCAATCAGAACAGAGATCATTTATTTAACACCCTAGGAAAGAGTCTTAGGTTGCATATAGACATCAGGAGAATGCTTTTCACTCAAAATGGCATAACCTACAAATAAGCTCTGCTTGAATAAGCTCACTTTTTTAACCAAACAAAACAAAAAGGAGGGTGGATAAAACGGAACTGGTGGGCAGACTCAGGGCTGTAACGTACTCCAGTGTTGCTCACATCTGTGATTTAAAAATGATTCTGCTCCAATATACATTTTAATGCAGTCACGCAGGCACTATCCTCCACAGCGCTACCGCTTTTCCACTAAAAAACACAGCACAAAAGTGCTAATTTCTGTTGTTTATCCAGTTAAAGTGAAGTGTGAATGTGGTGTCAAACTTCCTGCCCATAACACAACCCCAAGTATCTCTGTTACCTGTTTAAAACTACCTGTTTAAGTTAAATTCTAAGGGTTAAAGAAAGGTTAGAAAATGGTCATCTACGAATAAACTACTACTACTGTTCTGGTGCTTAAACCCACACACCTCGTGAGTAGATCACAGGAGAGGAAATTAAAGAAAGGAAAAACACCTCTAGTGCTGGACACAGAGCATATTAAACCTCTTACAATCAGTTATCACTAAGGTCGCTACGCCCTGGCTGAGACACAAAATGCATGCTGAGCACATGACCAGTGCATGCTGTACTTTCAGATCCAGCAGAGGGTGAAGCAAACACCCGTGACCCGACCATTCCAAACCTCCTCCGCACTTGGGCAGCGATGAATCAGATCGCAAAGTGAGCAGGAGTGTTCATACATTACCAAGTAACACCAAGGTGTTTATGGAGCTACATTTTCCACGTCTTTAACGTCATTCTCGGCCAGAGTAACGTTAATACAACCGGAGAGAAAGAGTGAGAGAGAATGAGAGTGAGGTACATGCACAGGTTTCCCTGCAATTGCTTTTTTTTTTTAAGGTGGAAAATTACATCAACAGTTCTGAGCTTGTGCGGTGTAAGAGAGAGTTGCTCATTACAAAGAATCCAGTGTGCCCAGAGCCAGGAGATCAGTGTGCACAGCTGCACTTTAGCCTCCAGCTACTGAAGAAAACACACACACACACAGATCCACAGCACTCTCACACAGGCCACAGCTGTCTGCAGATGCAGTCCTATAGCTTGAACTCTATTCATGAACTCCACTCATCCAGTGCCATGACAATAAACACACCGAACACCTTCTCTACCTGCGCCGCTGCTCCTTTAACACATACACAACACAAACCACCCAAACACCACACACCACTGTCCTGTGTGCACTGAGAAATTATGCTCCTTTCTACAGCGGATGATGACTCTGTTATTAGGCAGTTCTGTAAATGTCAGTGAGGTTTCAACAATACTGTGCAAAGCTGAAAATAGTTTGTAACCACAGTCATTTTGTTCTCATGAACTGTTCGCTCTTTCTCATACTAAGCTTACTGTTGCTGCCTGTATGTGTCGGCATGTGAAGTCTTCTTTAAGAACACTATAGATCCTGTTGCTTTGCAAACCTGGCTCAATACCATGTACGCTACCATTCAGAAGCTTGGAATTGCGGTTCAAAAGTCTGCAATCAGTGTTTTCAACAATATGAAACCAATTTTAAGGCGCCTAGTTGCAGTCACAAAATCAGATTGGCTCAGCTAAGGGACCCTTATTAGTCCCACAACAGGGAAATTTCACCTCCGCATTTAACCCATCCATGCAGCGAAACACCACATACACACTAGTGAACACACACATTAGGGGGGCAGTGAGCACACTTGTCCGGAGCGGTGGGCAGCCCTATGCACAGCGCCCGGGGAGCAGTTGGGGGTTAGGAGCCTTGCTCAAGGGCACTTCAGTCACGTACTGTGAGCTCAGGGGATAGAACTGGCGTCCTTCCGGTCACAAGGCTGGTTCCCTAACCTCCAGCCCATGACAGCCCCCAAAGTTGCTGTGAAAGCCTTGGTAAAACGCTCGATACCAGAGAAATGATAGGAGAAGAAAGTTCACTGTTTCAAAAACGAACGGGAAAGATAGTAACACTCAACACTGCATTTGTTTACGGGGAAAGTCCCGCCCTTCAACAAAAAGAGCCAATCGGCTTGCTGGTTAAGCCGCAAGCAGGACAAGCTTTCCCTCATTTTGGAGATACGTGCATGTGCAGTAGCAAAAACAAGCCTGAAAACAATTTTTTGTGTGTTATTGGCCCAAATGTGAGATGTTAGATTTAACCTATGATTTTGAATATGTGTATGAAATGTTACTGTCTTGCATGAGTGGAAATAACTGCTTGACCAGTGCTAAACTGGCACTTTACTGTAAAGACTTTGTCTGTATGCACACCTACGACCACCTCACAACAACTGAATTCGGTATTAATACTGTATTGTCACTAAAAAGCACTATACTGTAAATGGACTGTTATGCTGCTCGCATTGACCACCGAGTCAAGTCAGAACCCAGTGTGGTTTAAACTGAGGGCCTGACAACTTATTTCCTTACCAACTATGCTAAAATACAGCAGATTTCACCACAGATAAGGAGGCTTATTAGACATGACTAAGCAAACTGCTTTATGTGGTTATAGATAAAGTGATTCTAAAAGTTTCAAATAATTAGGAAGCAGTAAATTAAAAAAATGAAGAGGTGAACAGATGCAGAAGACTCTAAAATGACAGAGAAATCTGTATAGCATTGAGAATTAAGTTACAATAAAATTTATATCCACAATTCAACATTTCAAAAGAGGCATATTTCAAAAGGCAACTTGACAAATAAATGTACAGTATATTAGTTAACGTCCTCTTGTTCACATAATTCTTGAAATAAAATGCACAAAAATACCTTTCGGTGAATAGTCTGTAATATTTAAATCCTCCCTGTATAAGTATAATCAGATATAAAATAACACAAAGTCTAAATAAGTCAAGGGTCTGTACTGTAGGTATGTACAAATAAGCATATACTGCCAGAGCAACTAGCAGAACCTCCATCTCTAGATCTAAAAACTGCAGCATGTAGTTGCATATATCTGTTTTTGCGTGGAGATACTGCCCTCCTTATTTAAATGTAGGTCCTCAGAGCGTGCACACTAGCAGGAAAACTAATAATTCTGTCATGGAACAAAAGAATAAATAAAGAATGCAATAAGAAGGCAATGCTCCAGGCATCTGACAGGCAAAAAAAAAAATCACATAATAATAGAGGAGAAGCAAATCTGAATATGCAGATAATGCAGATAATCCCAGATAATTTATGTGCATATAATGGACGGCTGCTGCAGTGTTAGAGAGACCACATCCAACATTTTTCTTGAATTGTGTTTTTCTCTGTCCATTTTTGGTATTTATACAGCACTTAAATGAGCATTGAAATAAGTACTGATTGTAATGTATTGTACTGCACTTATGTATTGTATTGTATTGTATTGCACTGTTCTGTGTTGAACTCTGTTCCTTTTTCTCTGGGTATCAACAGCGACTTTTTGTTTCTAGCAGTATCTGAGCTCAGGACTGACTTTCTCTCTAACCTATTGGTAACTAGCAAAGATACTTTCTCTGGATAGACAAAGCACTTCTTGTAAGTCGCTCTGGATAAGAGCATCTGCTAAATGCTGCAAATGTAAAAGTAAATGTAAATGGTATCTGTGTGCATGTGTGCTACTTAGAATTAAAACATAATGAAACTATGCCTTTAAAGCTGTAAATGAGCGCTGTTCTGATTGGCTGCCTCATTCAAAATGCAGTCTGGGCTGAAACAGTCCTTAAAAGTTCAGAGTGAAAAGCTTAACTTCTGTAATTTAAATAAAGGTGTTTTGGCAGCTTAACTGCCATATATGGACCAACTGGGCAGTGACTGGTACCTATTGATACTTGTTTACACACTATATCCAACTCAAACAAAATCCGTGATATACGCCCTTTAACCTCATTTGAGTGGCAGGAGGCGGGAGGCAAAACAGAAAAGAAGAGAAAGTGAAAACACACAGTTAGAGGAGAGAGAGCGAGTGAAGGAAGATGGAACTGATTAAGATAATGATAAGAAAGAGAAAGTAGGGCAGTGAAAGCCTCAGTAGGGCCAGTCCAGACCCTGCAGCGCATGTCTGTGTGTGGCCACAGGACACTCACCTCTGGCTGCTGTTGCTGGTGAGGGTGGGAGGGGGAGGGGAATGGCGCAGAGGAGGCACGTCGTATTCATCTGAGGGTAAGAGGCCGTTGGAGAGGGGCTGAAAAGAGACATGGGTCCAGAGTTAACCAGACAGCTTTCAGTAAACACATACGGGTCATTCTACAGAAACGTCCACTTTTTTATCTATATATAGGAGTCACTGGTGTTACTGATCGTCATTGGTGTTACACATAAGAAAGGTAACACCAGAGACATTAATGACACATTTCACAAAATGGCTGCTACAGAGCATCAAACCACATGTCAATCATGGAATATCCACTAAAATATGTAATTTAATCCATTTATATTCAATTTTTTTCACAATTATCTCAATAAAGTGGGTCACACCAGTGATATCAACTAAAAGCTTCACATGAAATCATGAGCTAAATGAGGACATTTCTGATGACAGAAAAAACACAGTGAACTGAACCTGTGCTTTTCTTCATAGATCCTCAGAAGAGAGGTAAAAGTAGTTGTGATGTCATCAGTGAGATTTTTATTTCAAAATAAGAGATTTTTTTGTTATGCAGTGACACCAGTGACACGACTCCTGGGGACAATTTCATTTTATATTTTATAATATTTATTTGGCATTTGTTTTCTTTATTATTTAAATCATATATTTTACAGTCATGTATAGATTATTGCAGTTAAATTGCAGAAACACATGTTTTTACCTCAAAATATGGCCTCACCCTTTACACATGACTGAGGATGAGCTCTTCTGTGGTGCTTGGAATTCTATATAATTGATTTAAAAACCAAATTGATGCTCAAGAAGGTGTACTTGTTAAAGTAACTTATTCTTTTATTTTAAAATATAAATAAATTGTAACTCTAACATGTTTTTCAGGTGTGATATATCTGTAAACACTAGGGACACAGAAATGGACGTTTCCATAGAACGACTAATACATGAATATACAGAGTTCACAAACAGCTGGAGACGTCACAGTCAGTCAGAAGGAGCAAATCCGTGTAGTTCACAGATGCTGATCTGTAATATGTGGTAAAAGCTGAATTCTCTTCCAGAATTTGGGACAGAGTTCATGAATGTCTGCCATTTTATTAGGCTAGCATTTATTAGGGATGGCACTGGAATCACATCAATGTTGGCAGACAACTGAACAGATATTGAGATGTGGCCAATATTTAAAAAAATTATATTTTAAATTGTGTTTATTGCACTCCAGAACAGCAGAAAGTTTAAGTGACCCTGGGCTACTGGGCTTATCTTGGTAGATGAAAGAAAACAATCTACTATCAGGACTGTCCCAGCATTCGCATTTCAATGCATCCCTAAATTTGGTGTTTGTATTGGACTGTGAGTTGAGCTAAGCATCTGATTGTAGGTTATGGTGTGTGAAATCAAGTCTTTCCTATTACTTCAATAAATAGTAGCATGTCACATTTAAATGCTGAAAGACTTAAAATAAATTCTAATGGCTGTCAGTATTGTGTTGCCACTCTGATCAACAAAAACTGAACGTATTACATGCCTGCCTACTCTGTCTCTTTACCAAACACCAATCTAGCTTACAAAGAAGACATATTTGCATGTAGCGCCCCCATATGAACATTTTTTGTCAGTGCTAATATTCATTTTCATTTTTTTATTTATTTTTAAAGGAGTACTCTGGCCAAACTGAAAAATGAAACCATTGCTACATCTGTAGTGAACATGCCTACTTGCCTCCTACAGTGGTGGTATACTCTCAGAAAAAAGGTACTTAACTGTCACTGGGGCAGTGCCCCTCCTGTCACGGGGTGGAAGCCTCAAGGGTACATCTCAGTACCTTTAGTCAGGGAACATAACTGTACCATCATCTATTGAAATGATATTTTCTAAGATGTACTGACTCCACACACCCCGTCTCGTCTCCAGGCTTTTATTTTATTGTTCTGTTTTAAAATATTCGGTTATGAAAAGGTACAAATATGTACTTTTCACCAGCAAAAACTCCTTTAAGGATCACAATTGGACCTTAAAACCACTGTTGTACCTTTGAGGGAACATTTACATTGTTTGTACCTTGATGAACAAAAAATGTACCTGTACAGAACCTTTATTTCGCCCAGTGTACAATATCACCATAAACGAACATTTCTGGCTTAAAGATGAGAAAACTCCCCTTCTGATGATGCATCTTGAAGAAGGTAGGAACGTTAGAAAACCAACAAGCACCTTGGGGTGGATTCATAAAGTCAAACTGTTTAAAATGCTTTTTTTTTTTCCTGCAAGCTGGCTGAAGTAGTAGGAGGCCAGATAGCTAACATTACCGCTGGGGTGCCAGATATATCAGCGGTACATCAGTACTTCTCTTTATTGCAGCGGGGAGGTTCACAAATAGTAATATGATGTATTCGCAAGATAATGCAAGATGGTTATTAAGGTGAGAGAACACTGATTGATGTAAAAAAAATAAACAGGATACAAAACAGGCAGTTCAGTCAAACCGATGACGCTCAGGGAAAACATACACATATACAGACAAACGACATATTAAGCTCTACTTTTATGCTTTTCTAAATTTGCTAGCTACCATTTATGCTGACCTTCTTCTGTAATCATTAAACCTGGATAAGGAAACAAGCTGGTGGTCTAAGAGAGAATGTTAAAAAGAGGAGATAATTCAGGTAAAAATGAAGAGATATAGATGGAGCATGATAGCTAGTGGGAAAATGTTCATTTTTAATTTAGTTAAATGGTTAAAAAGTAACGTCAAACACCCTTTGCACTTTAGTATAGGCTGGAGAAAATGGCACAGACCTAAGTGCGGGGTTGTTTGGGGGCTCAGTGACTGCTGTTCCATCTGATTTAGTAATGCAGTTTAGTCCCACAGGTGGACCTGACACAGAATCTAAAACAAGCATTTATGCTAAAATTGGTATTTCCTCATCAAGTGAAAGGTGCAGTTTGATGTAGGCCTGGCCACACCTCGCACAACCACATACACATATGTGTGCTGACACACTCACTCTCCCTCTAACACATACACAGTTTCTGACAGGCTGAAATCAGATGCCTGAGGTCCTGCAGTGATTTTTAATGAGAGTCCCACTGGAGCTCTGCCTTCAAAATGTCACACTGGTAGAAATAACACACTACACTATAGTTCAAAAAACATCTCTCTCTCTCTCTCTCTCACACACTTCCTCCCTCAGGACCTGCTCTGGAAGATGGGCACCAGAGCCCCTATTTAATACATAATCCCTGAATCCCACTGAGCTGATCGGTGTGTGTGTGTGTGTTCTCTCTTTTTGGTCTATTTAACCCGTAAGTGCTCATACACTCGTAGATCACGACACATGGTAGGGCACTGAGGCTGAATTTGTCATCAAACAGCCAGGTCCCGTCTGGGTTGATATGCGTATGTGTGTGTGAAGTTACAGTACTGCGAAAAAGTCAGACACCACCCTTCATTTATTTCATTTTTACAGTTAAAATGTCTATAAACCCTGTGGTGTTCTGGTCTGTGGGACCCATTTTCAGTGTTTACCAAAAGAAAAAAATTATGCGATCTATTATTATTTCAACCTCAGATTTCTTGGCCTTTGCTCATTTTCTGTGAAGAACATACAAAATAACCCATTTTCAGTGCCTTCACTCTGTTCACCCCCCACACGTTTATACTACACATGTGGTGTTGGGCTGAACCCGCGGGGAAAAAAAGTGTGGAGGTGCTGTGTCCTTCACTCTGTTCTCCTCCTACATGGCCTGCTGTTAGTGTGTGTGTGTGTGTTTATGTGTGTGTGTGTGTGTGTGTGTGTGTGTGTGTGTGTGAGGGTGGACAACATGGACAGGCTGCTGACTGGCTACAGCTGCTAAAGGAGAACCCTACGCTGGACACGTGATATTTTAAACATCTGGTATTTTTACATAAATTGTTATGGCTGTATTGATTTAAAAAAAAAAAACAATAATGTGGTGGGTCCAGCAGACCACTGAGTAACAAACACATCAACTCCACACAAGGGTTAAGTACAAGTTTGTTAGCAGGAGATGTTTCTGATGAGATTTTGGAGGAGATTAAAGTAATCCAGTGCAGAGGAAACAGGAAAAGTCCAAGGAAAATTTGAGGGGAAACAGTAGCTCTATATATATTATAACACTATAAAAGTTGCAAAAAGTCTTAGATATTGACAAACTGGGATCCCCAACAACCACACAACACCTAGTAGAGCACCAAAACTTGTCAGACAAACAGCAATAAAAGCTTTTATCTTTGAGAAATAGGACAAAGCTGAAGTTCCACTCTTGCTTTAGATCTGAAAAAATCCCCAGGTGTTTTTGCTCATGCTTTCACTGTGAGAAGACAACTCAGCGCTATGAGTCTGAAAGGATGTGTAGCTGTGAAAAGGCTGTTAGTGAGAAAAGAAAATAAAAAAGAGCATTTACAAATCAAACAAAGAAGCTGCTGGTGTTCTCAGAACAATGGACTGACCACCCCAGAGTCCTGGGGCCGTATTACAGAAACATCTTTTTGTCTTAACTTAAGATCTGGCAGGTCATGATAAGATTTTTCATAAATTCAAATTACAAAAGCAAATCTTATCTTCATTTAGGAATCTTAACTTTCAGCATCTTATCTCAGGTTAGGAAATCTTAACTTACTCAATCGAAGTCGACAATCAACCGACCATACGTGCACAGCTGAAACGTAAACACGTAATCAAGCTAGTTAGCCAGACAGCTAATGGCAGCTACAGTTACTGATGTACAAAAAAGGTCAAACAAAATTAAAGCGCGATAAATTAAGAGTTAAGAACTTTGTGATGGTGCTTCGTGCTGTTTATCAGGGCATCGCCACTTCCCAGTTTCAGTTTCCTTTCCCAAATGCTTTAGCTGAGCACGCTAACGTTATTCCTCCTAAGAAACAGACACATGTTCAGCTCTGTGTACTTACTATTCACCACCATCACTATAATCTTCAATCTGACGAGTTTTTATCAACATTAACACATGAAGGTAATAAGAGGGGTAGAGATCGTGTCTGCAGCATCTGGGTTTTAAAACACTGTTAGAAAAAAAATCTCACAAGTCAAACCACTGTTTACAGTGTAGACAAATGTAACGTCATTATGTCAGTTACAGTGAACTATACTGCCAGCCACTGCATAAAACAGAAACAGACGGTTCGTCTCAAAGTTCAGACAGAATTTAGGAGACTTATTCTGGTTAGGATGTTTCTATAACAGTGTTTTCTTATCTGGAGTTAATGGATAAGATTATGAACTTAAGCGCTGTTGTTCTGTGATATTCAGTCCTAACTAAAGTTGTCATGATGACTAAGCAGATAAGATTTCAGACTTGTGAAGTTTCTGTAATACGGCCCCAGACCTCAACATCACTGAATGTGTTTGGGATTACTTGGATCATGAGAAGCAGGAATGACTTCCAGTTACTAAGACTGAACTATGGAGGTGTGGAAAAATATCCCGGCAGATTCGTTTAAAAACTGAAAGCAGGTCTCCCAAAAAGAACGGAAGCTGTAATAAAGGCAAAGAGTAAATATTGAAAATGAATCATTTGTACTTAATGGCTTTTCTGACTGGAAATTAAATAAATGAAAGGTGGTATCTGACTTTTGCACAGCACTGTACGTGTGTGGGCGCATGTGTGTACTGGAGTAAAGCAGAGGGAATAAGCTGGCAGGGTGATAATGTGTGTTTTAATCACCCTCAAATACAGACACTTTGTGCTCCAGTGCCAGCCTCACCTCTGAAAAAACCACCACACAGAGCCAAAACTCACAGCTCGCAGGAGTGCGAATACTGTCACTGTTGCTTAGTAACAGATATGAGGAAAAAGTGAGTACTGTCCACTTGAAATAGAATAGCAAAAGAATTACAAACGGTCGTTTTTCACTGTGCAATGTCCAGTCAATTAGTCATTTAAGGCGCATTCTTATCTGATGTTCTGGAGGGCTTATCTAAATGACGCATTCCTGAGAGCTTTAAGCATGCTCCACTGCGTGCTCAGTCCCAACCGCTCCTGGTGTGAGCGTGTGCATTAGAGGTAAACAATAAATCAGCAGCCGATATTTTATTTGGGGATAAATGGGACAACTGACGAATTTTATTCTGCATATTTTTGCTCATGTATACACCGACACAAGTCATGTTCTGACGCTACAGAGCGAAAAAGTCTGTGGTGTGGAAGCTCTTAGTGTCAGCAGAGGACAACAACAATGCAGTTTGCCAGAAACAAACAGCTAATACTTATCTACCATCTAAAAACTCATCATTTCAGTGATCTACATAGTCTAATGAATACTGGACTGGTAGCTTAGCAGCCAGCATCTTTAGAGTTTATATCTTATGCTCAGTGAACTTACTTGGACTGGTATAAACTTACTTTCAAATGCAAAAAAAAAATAAAAATAAAAAGTGTTTTAAATTAAAAGCATTTGTTGTTAGCAGCCCAGAAATTCCTTATCACTGCATTCTTATATCTGTTTATCAAGCTGCACCATGTATGTTTTGGGGATTTGAGTATTTGGAGACCTCTCTAGTGGACATATGTAATTGCTCACAATGTGTCTAAGACTATTTTATAGCGTGGGTTGTGCTTCAGTCCCCTTCCCCAAGTGGATGACAAAGTAAACGGGCTGGAGGTTAGGGAATCAGCCTTGTGACCGGAAGGTTGCCGCTTCGATCCCCTGAGCTAACAGAACGTGACTGAAGTGCCCTTGAGCAGGTCACCTAACCCCCTGCCTCCCGGGCACAGTGGATAGGGCTGCCCATCACTCCGGACAAGTGTGCTCACTGCCCCCCAAGTGTGTGTGTTCACTAGTGTGTATGTGGTGTTTCAGTGTACGGATGGGTTAAATTTCCCCGTTGTGGGATTAATAAAGGTCACTTAAATTTGATTATGCTTTTGAGATCTAAAGATGGAGCCTGAGCTTCTTTTTAAGTCTGTGCATGCGACATTAATACGTAAAGATAATAATCCTTATAAATATCCCTGTAAAGATATATGATGTGACCTGAAAAACAAAGAATATCAACAAAAACGGGACGGCACGGCATGTCTTACTATGATAAACAATAATGTAGCCCCCTCAGTAGTTTTCACGTACATTGTCGATCTTTTGCTAAATCAGAAGAAGTGATAAATGAAGGCATTTTCGACTCTGACCTGCCTCCTAGTGGACATAGCTTTTAAGCCTAGACAGACCAGAGGTACTAAGTATGTAAACGAAGCTGCTCAAGTAGCCTCATGACGGCTAAAATCAAGCACAACAGCCCTCGGTGTGCACATCTTACCTTACTGCAGTCTGTGTGTGTGTCTGGTCTGTAGCTAGACCGGTTGACCGCTAGCTCAGCAACAGTGCAGCTGAGAGGTCTCCCGTTGATATGAGCAGGGGCGACGTGGGCAAGTTTAGGCGAGCGCTCCACTCCGGCTCTGCCGTCCGACAGGGGGCTGCTGTCCTTGGGGCTCCAGGCCTCTGGGGGCAGTGCAGGATCTCTGGGCAGCCCGGAGGAGGGCACGGCTATCCAGGCAGCTCGGCCTTCGGGAGGGATGGGAGGAGGGCGTTCAGGAGGAGGGGGAGGAGGCGGGTCTCTCTGAGGAGGCGGAGGGGCAGGAAGGGGCTTGTCCTGTTTTCTGGCCATCCCAGGCGAAGACTGATGGAAGAGGAGAGCGGCACAGGACACAGAATCAGAGACCCCAGTCGTAGAATAAAAAGTAGTGATATCCCAGTTTGATTTGACAGGGCAAGGCATCATTGGCTATATTAAGGTTAGTTTAAATTCTGATATTTTTTGTAAAGCTATTTTATTCCGTTGTGCTCTATTTAGACCACTGTGGTAAAAGGTAATAAGCTCAACAGCCAGTGTTTCAGCTGAGGTTAAGGAAGCCACCTTTCGTTTGTCCAAACAAGGTTAACTATGACTTTAAATACAAGTTCATTCAAGACACTATAAAATAGACAATTCAAAAAAAAAAAGTAGTCCAAAACACATCAGTTCACTACAGTATTTAGATTAGGATGTTAGTGGCATCATATGCTTCCTATCATTCAAATTTTATGTGATATGCACTCATGTTTTAGCCAAAGTGAAAGTCTCAATCTGTATTCAAAGGTAGAGATGCACTAAATTCAGAACCCAGGAATCTGAATGTGCTGGATTGTGCTGGAGCAGCGTCTGTCTATAGCATCCTAGCGTCTGCTTTAGTCACAATAGGCTTTAATCATTGAATTTCTAGGTTCTTAATGAAGCCAAGTTTTTCTGCAAAAAAAATGAGTTTGAGCCTTTTTTTAAAATAAAAGAAAGAAATTCAAGCATATTTTTAAATCTTTTGTCATTTTATTATTAGAAAATCAGCAAGACCTCCCCTTTCTTCACGCACACGTTTGCAAAATCAGCTTCCTGTAGCATTCTTCAAGCCCTAATAATCAAAAGTAGATCTGGTTGGGCTTTTTATTGCAACCATTCTACAGACTTTGTTCAAATTGTGGTCCACCATTTAAAAAACGATACAAAAAATTTAGATATCAGACCTTCGATATTTACAAGGATTATGTTATCATCTATTTAAACCCAAGGCGTTAACAGAGATAATAAAATCATTGTTTATAGGGTTCTCTTATTAAAACATGGCTGTCCCAAACCCTAACCCTTAAATTTCAACCTGTAAAAATAATTTAAATATTTACATTTTGAACAATTTAATGTTGTTTTTTAAAAGATCTTTACCATTTCTTTTAAAGAGTTTAAATTAACAAAAAAACTTCTCCATGTTTTCATGTCGCTACCGAAACACACAGACAGAGTGTTGTAGGTGCGCCTTATTTTAGCCACACCCCTGCATTTTAGAGCTGCATCCATATCCCTCATGTCCACACAGTGAGCAGTTAAATCACACTGTTTTGAAGTAAATGTGTCTCAAAACCTGAAAAGCAGTGTGTAACATTAAGAACTGTCACTACTAAAACACATTTTCTGCATAACGTATTGTATTTTAATAAAATCATTATATTCTTATGTGTGTATAACTGTTCAAAGCTTTGTTTGGCTAGCGTTTTTGAGTTCTGATCAAAATTAGCTACAACTGTCACCACCGTACATTTCCGTTAGTGTTATGATTGTTTTGGTAGCAACAAAATGGAATATTCAATCTTTTATATTGTAATAAAATAAACATAACACCACAACATTGGCAGCTTAGCAGATGATAGAGTGGACTGGTCTTAATAGCTTTAATGCCCTGAAAGTATTCACTGTGTGGCTGTATTACTATCTCAAAAGCTGAGATCCTCACCTTCAGAAACATTCTAGATACTGACGAAATCAAACACAAACGTAGACACACCTTTGGTGACCCGGTGGGGCTTGCGGCGGGTGAACGGATCACACCCTTCTGGATGAGGTCGAGACGGGGCGGCACGGGCGGCAGGCTGAGATGCTGAATGCCCGTGTGGTCTGCTGCGGGTTTTCTGCGCTGGCTTACAGGGGAAGAGCTGGGAGACATCACTGGAGAGTTCTGGAGCTCCGTACACTGAGGCAGACAAATGAAGAGAGCGCACTTCTGTTGATTTCATAGATTCTCACAGGCCAACACCTCAACAGAACCTCAATAAAGACGAGTGCATTTAAGTGCTGTGGAAAAAACGGAAAAATACTCTTCTAGCTGAAGGTGCACTCCATTTGCTTTTTGCTTTTAAAACCGCTAACAAAATTGACTCGCTATTGCCGAGGAGGGTTCAATGTCGCGGCCAGATGGCTTAGAAAAGGTTTCTTTCTCCAGTAAAAATGGCTGACATTTATGCCGGTGTAGGACAGAATGTCTCCTTTGAAAGGCACTCGCTGTAGTCCACAGATCCAGCTCAGAGTCAGCTCACCAGGATCGAGTGCCGGTGATAGAGCTGTTTGAAGTGAAGCAGGGAGAGAAAAATAGAGCCAGCAGAAAAGAGGCTTGGACCTTTAGCGAGCGTGGTGGATAAAATAGATGCTGCATATTTCCAGTATTAAGTTCAAAAGGACTAGGATGAAAAGTAGAAATAGAAAATTATATAACTCAGTGGTGTCAAGTATTGAACGTAAAGGAAATGCTGAGAAGTAAAGGCATTTTGTAGTTTCTGGGCTTGAGAAATCTCCTGGTTCTTAAGGTATGCTGCCTTACGGCCTTACACTGTGTCGTTCTGGTCATGTTTCACCTTCGATTTGCCCCTTCAGACAAATTTTCAAGATTGGAGGTGAATTTCCAGAATTTACAGGCACTCAATCACAAGCTAGTGACAATGATCAGCTACTGAGATCACAAACGACTCAATCTCATCTTCTGACCTAGCTCTGGAGTGACTAGACGCCTTCCAATATCCTCAAACATGTTTACTTTTTATGACTCAAAATATTCCTGTAGAGTGAGATGGTCAGTGTGATACAGAGAGCATCCAATGGGAGATCTATGTGAAGTGGAAGGGAAGGCATGTATAACCTACTCCATATGCACAGCAGATAATCGAAATGGTGGAGTTTGTTGTTGGACTTGCGTGAGTGCCTGAATAAGCTAATGAACCAGAACTTTGAGGCACTCACTTTGTAACGTACGCTCAGCTTTACATTGAAACAGATGGCGTGTCCTGGCCAAGCCTAAACTTGAACCAAATCCAACTGAGCCTCAGGTGCTCGCTTGAGTCTGTAATTAGGTTAATATGTATCCAGAAAACCAAAACATAGTGTTGTGTTGGCTTCTTGGGACTACAGTCACACGCAACTTCACATTCTTGTCAAGTTGGGATCTAATTTATTTGTACTAGTTAGGATGCAGTGCACAACAAAGTACTCGTTTAAGTCATTCTGATTTAGAGCAGCTGCTAAAAGCTGTAAATATATATGTAAGGCTATGTTCACATTACAAGCCTCATTTCTCAAATCCGATTTTTTGCTCAAATCTGATCTCTCTGACACGATGGTTCACACTCCTTTAGGTAAGTGATTCAAATCAGTCACTAATGTGAACGAACCGGCGTCCTGAAATGACCAGTATGCGCACATCCTACTCAGTAACGTCACGTGAATGAATCACATGCATCACCAGCACAAACTAACGAGCAGAACGAGCTTTGCTGAGAAGATAATTAACTCTGATCAGCTCTCAGCTTCATTATTAGAGCGAGACGAAGGTGACAAAGGTGAGATGTGTTGCTTTTCCACCGTTTACAGGCTTTAACTTCTGTTCAGCGCTGCTGCCATGGTAACGCTGAATGATGGCACACACGCAGTGGAAAAAAAGCACATGAATTCGAGTGTCACTTTAAGGTCACATGGCCACGAATCGGACACGTATACGATCTAGGACCACATTTGAACGTGGCTCAGGTCGGATTTGAAATGATCAGATCTGCATGTCCACACAGCCCTGAAAACATCAGATCTGAGTCACATTAGGGTAAAAAATCAGATTTGTGCCACTTCAACCTGGTAATGTGAACATAGCCTTAGTGCCACTGCCAACTGACCTGCGAACCTAGGTGGTGTTGGAATTATCATGGTAGGGCACACTTGCTAGGCTAGCTTTCGTAGTGCTCATAGTGCTCTTTACCTTTCTGATGTTAGCCAGGCCATTCATAACGAGCGAGTCATCTCGGTCATCATCATCATCCAGGTCCAGCATGGGTGAGGTGAACTGGTCCAGGAAGAAGCATTTGGCACCTTCGTTGCGCGGATCGAAAGGGTCCACAATGATCCTTTCCGTGCCCTTAATCTCGCAGCGGCAGAAGGGACAGCCTTGGCCATCTGACTCCTGCGGAGGAGAGGGAGGCATGAGGCACCAATTAACACAGAGAACACCACATGTACACACACACACACACACACACACACACACACACACACACACAAAATTCCAACACAAGTAAAAGTTCCTTAAATAGCCTGTAACTGCATGTACACACACATGGACACAATCACAGGCAAACACACACACTCGAGCGCCTCTGCTAAAGCCCATCTCGGCAGCTCTGGCCTGCTTATTTGTCTAAAGCTGTAAACAGTCCCCGTGCATGAGGAAGTGCTTTCCTTGCTGAATCGGAGGCGGCAAGAGCAGCAATCAGCACCAGCTGGGGAACACATGCCTTCACTGAGGCCTGATCTGCAGGCTCTGGTACCACAAGCCTCCTTCCCTCTAAATGATCATTTGCAGGCTGAGTAGAGGATGCATGCACACACGCTCTAAGAGGAAAGCAGCTCCAACATCTCGCAGGCTTCCATGCCTGATGACAGATTGCACATGGCATAAGGGGGGGAAAAAAAGAACATCCATCTTTCATTTCCTCTACTTAAACTCCTAGAATCAAAGAGTGTCAATATTTACAAGAACAAAAGATGATCTTGGAGGCCATCTGGACGGGGACTTGCGCGAGGCATCAAAGCGTTGTTTGAAAGCTAATACTAATTAGAGTTGCAGGCAGAGAGAATGAGAGCTCTCTATTACCCAGCCCCATTAAAGCTGTTCAGAATGAGGAAAGGGGGCAGGGGACCCCTTTAAAGACCATTTCGGGGAACTAGTCCACTGTGCGCACGCTTTACTCATGCGTTTCATGAGTCTAACTCAGAGTGTGAACAGTAAATACAAGTGGGTGTGTGTGTGTGTGTGTGTGTGTGTTGGGGGGGTGCATCAGGTGAATCCCCTAAAAATTAACCGGAAAAACAGCAATGAATATTAATGGCCCCGGCAGCTGTGGAGTGAGACAGTCCTCAGCAGGCTCTCTTACATTAAAGTGATGCTAACAGGGATGAAGAGTTAAGTGGAAGGTCACTATCCACAGAAGCTTTGTTCAGTTTTTGACAGAAAGACTTTACAGTCTGAACAACAAAAAGATATAAGATCCATTTTTCCAATCAGGTTCAAGGCACTTTTGCACATAGTTTTAAATCTGATTCAAATCTCTATAACTATAATCCATAATATCCATAATCTCTGGGCATGTGATTCAGATTAACTATTCCAATTAAATTTCATGTGTTTTTCACTATTCAGTGCGCAGCATATGCAGCATGCGCCAGCGTACGCACGCCTGCATAATTAATACTGGTGTTGTGGTACAGCACAGTGCGGTTATTAATCCAAACCCTGAACTACTATCACTCTGCTTGAGTACCCATTTCCCAGAACGATGAAAGTAGGCGGGTTCTCTGGAGGTTGTGTGGTGGCCACATGGTTTCTCACACGACTCCAGTGTTAACAGTAAACACGAATAACAGCAGCAACAATGGAAGTGATTTGCATCTGGTTCATGTAAAGAAGCATAGACGGCAGTTCTGGATAGTCAGTGTGTTTTTAGAAATGGCTGTGGTCTGACTCGAAGGACGTCGCATAGCAATTCTGTGATGACGGTGTTGCACCAATTAATGGTCTGTGCAGATTCTAGCCCCTCTCATACGTTGTGGTTCAGCACACTTTGTATCCTCAGCAACTCCAGAACAGGTACTCAGGTCTCGTATGATTCCTTGGGCAGTGGAAATGACGAAAAAGTGCACCGCACCGTACCTCACTGCCCAATGGACCAACATGAACTGAATCAGACTTGGTCACTTACGACTTGCAATGCAAAATATGATTTTCCCTGCTGTGTTAATAAAGCTCTCTCAAAATCAGGCTAGCTAGAGGTCCAGAGGCTCATCAGAAGAGAACAGTTAAAGAACTGGTGATCAGTAACTGATCCGATGTCAGCCTATTATGCTATTACCTTCACTTCTTCACGTTCTTTCTTTAATAGCTTTTTGCAAACATTGAATTTAAAATATTGTACAGGACAGTGTAAAAGTCAAATACCACACTTTATTTATTTATTTTACAGTCAAAACTTTGTTTCTTAATATCAGGAAAAAAACAGAAAGTACATCAAACATATTTCAGTTTTCCAAAGAAATCTGCAGGGATGTTTTTCCACACCTCCAAAGTTCAGTCTTAGACATTGGTTGCATTTTCAGCTTCGCAGAATCCGAATAATCTCAAACAAACACATTCAGTGATGTTGAGGTCTGGACTTTGGGGTGGTCAGTCCACTGTTCTGAGAGCACCAGCAGCTTCTTTGATTTGCAAACTTTCTCCTTTTTTGTCAATATCCTTTTCTCAATAAGAGCTTCTTGACAGCTACACATCCTTTCAGACCCACAGTGTTGAGTTGTCTTCTCACAGTGGAAGGATGGTCAGATTTTCTCCTCTCTCTCAAAGACGAAAGCTTTAAGTCCTGTTTATCTAATGAGGACAGTTTTGGTGTCTACCAGGTCTTGCATTGTCTCATTTTCTCTGTATTTCTAAATCATTTTTTAACTCTAACTTTGGAAAACTAGTTTTTTTCACTTATTTTCTTTGACTCTCACCTTTCTTTTGAAAGTGGATTACTTTATACATAACTGAATCAGACTGTTTTGACTGGAAATTAAATAAACAAAAGGTTGGTCTCTCACTTCTGCACACAACTGTATGTATTCTGAAAATGTTTTCAAGCATTGTGATATTATAGCGCTGCCATTTCGCCCACACTTATTGTAATGTGAATGTGGCTTAAGATGCCGATACTGCAGCCACTTCCTCTGCACCAATGACATTTACACATACACTCCACTGTGAACAAGAAGCCCATCTGTTTAAAGAGCAACGACACCCACGCATACAGGTTACTATAGTCCAGTAGCCTGCTTGCACCAAGAGCAATGACATACGCATATGCAACAGTAAAGACTAGCTTTCCTGCTGGACCTCTGAACTCAGATCTGCTCCCCTCATGGTTCTGTCAGAGGAAGCTGTTTACTGGAAAAGCGCACAGATGCTCCAGTGACACTCCAAAGTTACTGCCATCTCTGGCCGCAACTAATGAGTCATTATGGAGGTGATTATAAACACTCATACGCAATTACAGATGCATGCACATGCACACACACACAAAACCACACAATGTATGACATTTTGACACATACTCTCCATTAAATCTGAACATATTTCACATCCTTGTTGTTTTACAACGTTCTGTCTTTGGCCCGTTTAAACGTCTTCGCCTGTATTGCATTCATACTTCAAACAAACTGCACCAGAGTTTGTAGTGAAGCGGAGTGAGACCGCCTGATCAATGTGTCTTGTTCCACTTAATTGGTGGCAGCTAAAACAAACAAAAAAAAACTCGGTAATACTTTCTATGAATGTCACCTTTGTAAGCATCTATAAACACATTTATAACATGTTATAATGTATTCATAAGGCATTATAAACATGGTTATAAATAGTTATAAAAAAGAATTACACTGAATTACACTTTATAGCCATGGTTATTATATATTATGAATTGTTAATATAATGCATTATACATAGTGCTAATAACACGTTATAATGTCCGTGCCAAAGAAGTCAGTCCCAGCTTGGAGAGCGTAAAGACAAATACCAAGCTAACGGTGGTGTACATTACCTTTCCCACATTGGGTAAAACACTGATGGCAGCACTAGTTTAAACTCTGACATTTGAAGCCTGTAATGTGCTTTATTATGTATGTTTTAGTGTTTCAGTAAATCCTTCAGTAAATACTTCAACTTGAAGCCTCACTCTGAACACTGGAGGAGGCTTTAGTACAGTACGCTTCACTTTACTTAGAGCGGACAAATACGACTTATGAGCTCTTACAATTTGTTATGATCAGTACTTATAATGTATTATGTTAACAATTCATAATGCATAATAAACATGGCTATAACGTGTAATACATTTTTATAACTATTTATAGCTATGTTTATAATGTCTTATGAATGCATTATAACATGTTATGAATGTGTTTATAGATGCTTACAAAGGTGACATTCGTAGAAAGTGTTACCAAAAGCTCTTCTGCACAGCTCTTAAAACTGGAAAGAAACTGGTTTGGTAAGCCTACCGCGGACAAAGAAACGATTCCCGGTGACGGACTAAGAAAAGATTCAACAAGCTGCACATCATCTCGCAACCCCTATACAGAAATAATGAATATTATCCTGCGTATTGACACACCGTTAGTGGTGAACATTACATTTCATAGCAGCTCTCCAGATAAAAAACTATTTCAATTTTTATTTTACTACATGATCTAAACACAAGCTTTCCTCAACCTTGTGTGAAAATTTCATGTTGAATTAATCAGTAAAAATGCTGCAAAGTGATCTAAAATAAAATCTCAAAACACTTTATTTGGATGCGCCACTGTAGATGCTTTGTAAATGCTCAGTCTGTCTATAAGTGACATTCAACTAAATAAACATTAAATGCAATTAAACTTCAAGTTCAGTGTGAAAGAGTTCATTAAATCTATCCCTAACCTTAATTCTAATCCTAACCCTAACCTTATCCTCTAGGAAAAACCTATGACTACTCCTAACCCTAATCATAATGTTGTTGATAATCAACTGAACATCACCGGAAATTAAGTTAATGATTTAACTATCTGTAGAGCATCTATAGGAGGCCATCCAGATAAAGTGTGACCAAATCTCTTTACATTAACTTGCATTAAAATAAGACAGAACATGGTCCAACTAGCACACAGAACAGCAGTTAATATCAACAGGTCTGCTGAATCTGTCACTGATGCAAAGGTTTTAATGTTTGTGATATGTGACACAGAATCAAGCAGCAAATCCCAACAACCAGTAGCCAGTTTTACCATTTTTGATTGGCAGCTGTAATTACATATAATGCACATTTGAACTGGCAATGAAAACGTAGTTCTGCTTACTTAGTCTCCTTTAAGACTGAGTGCTGCTCTCGCTTACTCCACCATGCCACAATCAGCAAACTCTCTCAGACAACTTAATATTCATATCAGCAGTGATTAAAGCACTCTCCGCCAGATCCACTTAACAAAGAAGCAGGCAGTGCTGAAATGGTGTTTTATCAGAGTGCTGTGGGATAACTTGTCTGCATTTTCTGCCTGGGTACAGCTGCAGAATAAAGCGTGCTATCTGCCGTCACGCACCCCTAAACGTCTTTCACTTCTGCTTTTGCAGTCCAGTGGAGCTTGACTTCACAAAAACAGACTGACCCCCTGATAAAGCTCACCATGAACATCAAGGCAAACACCTACAGCCACAAAACATAACTCTGCCTCAGATCGCGTTCCAGAACTCTCAACATCCTACACAAATGATCTATTCATGCCCCGCCCACAGACGAGCTCTTTCATAGCAACTGTTGCGAGGTTGAAAAGCTTTACAGAACGTTGGCAAAAATCCCATTGAACCTAATGAGACATTGTAGTGCGCAAGTCGGTTTTTTGCCAAAATACCAAATGTTTACTTTGTATGCACATGAAAGGGCGAAGTGTTCGAATATGGCCTGATCCCATTTCACCTCTCGCCCCTACCACTTAGCCCTTACCCCTCTGTTTTACACGTTCAGGCCTAGGGGTGGGGTCTCCCGATTCTTGTTGAGATAGAGGGGCAGGGGGGGAGGTGTTACGGCCCTCCAAACAGACAGTTTTTAGAGGCACACTCCAAAGTCTCCCTTGAGGACAAAAAAAAAACAAAAAACTGCAAGTTTGCTGCGCAAGTGACCAAAGAATCCCACAAATGTGAGAATGTTCTCAGTTAAACAAGTATGATAACCATTGTGTGATCTTAGTTTAATGTCGTTTCAATGTATTATGGTCTTTTTCTTCATAACAAGCATTAAAATCTAACAGTATGCTGATGTTTTGGTAACTAGCTTGCTAAATTTCCCGTTCTACCTTAAATGGTGCCGCATTTACATTCTGGCTCCTCAGGCGTCAGAGCTACTGCTCCATTTAAGGTGGAACGGGAAAATTCGAACAAGAAGCTGGTGAATAGCTGACTTCAGCGTCATATCCCTGAAGATATAGGGGTGGGCGATAATAAATAATTGCCCCCCCCCTCTTTGAAGGCATATGATGTTTTAAATGTAACTGAAGCCCAGCAGTGAGGTTGCTGAACTGGCAGACTGGCAGAGTCGCTTATAGAGCAGCGCTAGTAGCCTGTTAATGAAGTAATGCTCTTTTTTATTTGAGGGTCCCATTTCAGAGGGAAGATTTCAACCACTACCCCTCGGAACTCCGTTCTAAGGGGCAAGGAGACACTCGAAAACAAGGGGTAGGGGTAAAAATGGGAAATGGGACTGGGCCTATTTTGGATATATTTTTTGGTCATGTAACCAAACTAACATTGGCATGTGGCAAATTCATTGCTGTCTCAGACTTGCCAAGTGTCAATTAGCTATCACAACACAAGTTCAGCTTGGTAGAAAAGCATCTGAAACTGGAAAGTCAACATTAATATGTAGTGACTAAACAAAGTGCCCTATGATTTCTCATTAGGTTGAATGGGATTTTTGCCAGCTGTGCAAAGATCACATTTGTGGGCGGAGCATGAACTGATCAACCGGATCACACACCTAAAGCAGGAGCCATGCTTAGCTCTCGAATCCTCCCGTGTGGTTGGAACACAGGTTTTAGGAGGAAAACTGTGGAAGTGGTCGTACCTGCCAGGCTGTGAGACAGGAGGTGCACATGAGGTGACCGCAAGGTTCAATCTTCACATCTTTGTCGTTCTCTGCGCATATTTTGCACAGCTGAAACGTAGAGCCCATCTCGCAGTACAACTCGTATTGCTCCTGTGGAGAGATGAAGAAGAGAAGGTGGCAGTTTGGACAGAAGTACAAACAAACCTCAAAATGGTTTTTAGCTATGTGAGAGTTTAGTTTTTATAGTTGTGTCTCACAGATTTTTGCCAATCCGACTGACATGATCCGTTTACATGCGCACTACAAATAATCAGATCCAAAATGACGCGCATGCATAGTTAACCGCTTAGTGTAGACGTTACCATGACAACAAGCATCACGTCCAGTCAGAGTGAGACGAGTTTTCAGTTGGTGCAGTTGTGTTTTTAATGACTTTACAATGATGTCAGACTCAGGAAAACGTACTTCACACGTCCTTATTACAGAAGGCTGAGAGGAAGACGTCGTGTTCTGAGACACATAAGCTGGACGCCCGTCCCACCGCCGTCTTTTAAAGATCAAAGCATAAACTTCGTCTCCTCTGCAGACCAGTTTCTGCTTCCGCAATGTTGAACATTATAAACTTTCACTATGACGCAACGCACACGATCAGAACGTACTTAAACTTTCTGATTGGGAATGTAATCAGATACAGACGTTTAGACGGTTATTATACTTCTATTTAACGGATTTTTTACAGGATTACCCACCTCATTCAATTGGATAGAACTAGCATTCCGAATGGCCTCAATCGGACTAGACTATTCCCATTGAGGTGTTTACATGGACGCATTCTATTCCAATTGAGCTGTTAGTTGGATTATTAACAGATTATCAGGCTGCATGTAAACACAGCTATTCTCAGGATGCACAATAGCAAATCTATTTTGAGATTATAAACCAATTTCACATGGTTTGAGGTCAAGCTTCTGCTACTTGCTAGTTACTATGACCTCGAAGCTCTTGAGCAAAACTTAAGAAAGCAAACTTCGGACACCAAACATGTCTTGCCACATTGATAAAATTTACAAAAAAAAATGTAGAAAGTATTTTTTTTGGTCAAACTACCACTTAAAACAGACAAACAGGCAGTCAGGCAGGCAGAGTCAGGACTAAACACATTAATCTACTATTTGCATGTGGTTATGCATGAATGCATGAGCGGACCCTCAAATTAAATCTGCATACAAACCCCTCAAGCTGTCCCTCACCTGGGTGACTTTAATGTGGTCGTGAGGAGTGGGTTCACAGAGGCCAGTCAAATCAGGGTTATAACTGCGACCATCAGGGAACAGATAGCTATGAAGAGAGAGAGACAGACAAAGTCAGAGTCACATTACACAGTGCTAAAAAACAAACCAAGAACACAACACACTCATGCTAACCCTCCTGCGAGTAGACAGCCAGCGCCTTGAACATCTTTATGTGTAATTGCCTTTCTGCCTGTTCCATTAGCGTCCGCGGCAAAGTGGGACATTTCCCTTCTCTCACTGTCTCTCTCACTGATCACAAAGCCCAGCCTGAGTCAGTGGAGTGGCAGAGGAGCGGTCGCGCTGCATTAGCCGCAGTTATACAGCCACTCAGCCGGGGCAGGCGCGAAAATCGCACAATCAGACACAGAGAAGGAGAGAGACGTGTCTGATTTACAGACATCTAGGTCCCTCCAAGCAGCCATTACTGGCTCTGTTATGGCTGTTTGCAATTATTTTCCGTCTGCTTTCCATGAATAAAGCTATGAGAGGGAAAGGACTTTCTGAGTTATCATCATGTTAACACTATCGTTATAAGTGCTGTTGTTGTTACCTTCATTGTTGCTGCTACCATTTAGCAAGCTGACGCATGTGAGAAGTGGGTATATAAAGTGTTGGCAAAATTGAGGCAAACATAAACGGTAAGTTGCTTATTACAGTGAGAAATTAATCCACAATCGATACATTGATTCATGCCGCTAGCACATCTGGACAGCAGGCTGATCTGGCCCAGGAGAGGTGCGTTTTGGACTCGACAGCGTGTGAACACGGTGAGCAATGCTTTAGAGAGAGATTCTCAGACAGGCTCACAAAGCTCGTCTCATCCCCTCACTGACAGCTGCTACTGACACTCTGACAGCCAGTCACTGCTAAACCTGAGACTGATGCCTTCAGCAGACACACAATAAAAATACACCTGCCAGCCAGTGCAGAGAGATAGAGAGAGAAAGACAGACAGGAGGAAGAGGGACAGACTGGAGAGAGAGGGAGAGACTGGATAGACAGAGAGAAAAACCAAAGAAAGAAAGAGAGAGTGGAAGAAAGTAAGGGGGGGAGAATAGAGAGAAAAGGGAGAAAGGAAGAAAGAAAGGAAGAAAGAAAGAAAGAAAGACAGAAAGAAAGAAAGAAAGAAAGAAAGCGTGAGAAAGAGACTGAGAAGATGGAGATAAAGAGAAAAAAAAAGTAAGAAAGACAGAAAGTGAGAGAGAGGCAGACTGAGAAGATAGAGACAAAAAGAAAGAAAGTAAAAAAGAAAGTAAGAAAGTAAGGAAGAGAGAAAGAGGGAGAGACTGAAAAGATAGAGAGAAAAAGAGAAAGAAAGAATAAAGAAAGAGCACGAAACAGACAGAAAGAGAGACTGAAAAGACAGAGAGAAAGAAAAAAAGAAAGAAAGAAAGAAAAAAAGAAAGAAGGAAGAAAAAAAGAAATTGATATTGAGCAGATAGAAAAAAAAACAAGCAAACGGAGAGAGCGAAAAAAAGAAAGAAGGAAAGACATTTAGATACAGACTGAGCGAAAGACAGGCCGAGAGAGAGAGAGAGGCACTGAGAGAGAGACAGAGACAGAGACAGAGACAGAAAGAGAGAGAGAGAGACAGAGAGACACAAACAGAGAGATTCCAGACAGATCTATTCAGAATCCTTCATACGGCTACAGTGAATAACTGATCTCTTCCTCTTTCCTCCATCAATAAGCTTTTAAAGGTCTTCAGTTTAATCTGCCCCTCAGTCTTGTGTTTCGGGGGGTCAGAATAAGCTGATGTCCGACTGGCTGAGCTCACGAAAGGAAGTGAGTTTGTTTCAGAGCTCTGTTTAAAGGGGCTTCATTGCTGCATCCTGGCTCTTCAGAGGCAGCACTTACAATCCTTCTCGGCAGCCATCAATGAGTGCCTGGAAGAGCGGTTTGTTGTGGGGGATGGTCTGCAGGATGTTTCCATCACTGGTGACGTAGCCGATGGCCCACTGGCCCAGCCGTGTGCAGCTCAGCCGAAAGATGTAACTGTGGGGGCACAGAGAAAAGGGCGGGGAGACACCAGAGTCAGCTTCACTTTCACAAAACATACATGATCAAAGGGCTGAGTTCATTAAGTTAATAAAGTTAACATCTCTTATAGATGCAATAAAACGTTATCGAACATTTACACTGTTGGAGCAGATTATTACCCTCTAAAGGGGAACTTTGCACACTTTTGTTGAGCTTTACTGGACTTGAGTTATAAGTTCTAGATAAGCAAACCCAGCAAACATAATAAAGCTGCCTTTTTTCAAATTCTGAAATAGTTTTTTTTAAAGATCAGCTAAAAAATGCAAAGTAGAACTGAGAATGAACAGGAAAAATGAGGTTAAAAGAAAAACAAAGAACTGTTTCCAAGACAAGAGGTCACTGGTGGCTTCCTTGATAGATCACTTTTCACCAGGACACATCACTATGGCACCTTACGCTATCACTGAGTGCGTTTACATGCACTCAATAATCCGATAAGTTAACTGATTATTCAAATGGTCCTGTAAACACCATACTCCGATCTAGAAATCCGATTAAGAAATCTGATAAAGAGAGCTGGATTTTAGCTAAGTAATCAGATTTCTTAGTGCATGTAAACTCTTACTCTGTCTGCGCATGCGCGAGAACAGACAGCGGTACCGGAAACAAGCAAGCAGCGTTGCAGATGGCAGCAAAACACTTTTGGAGTGACGCTGAAACAAAACACAAAATAAAGGATTTAAATATTCTTCATCTTCTAGATGACGTATGTTTATATTTTCAGCTAAAGTGGAGCAATGTTTAAAAAATAAAGGCCGCGACATGAAGTTATAGTTTTACATTACGTTTACATCACGTCGTCTTCTGTGAGTTTACTGGCTGGTTGCAGAGCAGAAATCCGATTACTGTCTGACTCACGTAGACCTGGAGTTTCCCATTATCTGATTACTCAAATGCATGTTAACATGTTGATCGGATTACTGAAAAAATCTGATTTACTGCAGTTATCGGATTATTAAGTGAATTATTAAACACACTCACTTTTTCAGCAGAGGAAACAAATATTTTAAAATATTTGCTGCCTTTTACATTGTTTATAAAGTTCATGAAGAACAGACCAAAACAAACAGCCCAAAAAGGCTTGGAAAAAAACTCTGGTTCCACTGACTTACATTAAAAGTAAAGTATGTTTTTTCTCTTTTTTTCTGTAAAGTTACGAGGTTTTGTTCCAACAACAGCGATATAAGATAATGTAAAGCAAACATCGCTCTAATAAGCCATAAGACAGTGGCATTGCTGTTCATTATTATAAATGTATAAATATTTATTTTCCTTCTTGAAAAATAAGCCGCATGACTACTACTCACATTTCAGGCATCTGACTGTTCGCCATAAATGTCACTTTTCACGTGCAAGGGTATAAAAATTAATCAATAATTTTAATGTGTCTAAACTAATGCTGTTAAACGATTTTGAGAAGCTAAAACTTAGTCAGGAAGCCTGTTATAGCTGATCTAGCTGTGTGAGAAAGACTCCTGAACATGCTGCACATGCAGAAATATGGAGAAGCTACTAGAGTGCAACACTAAGCACTAAGCCAAAAAACGTCATGACAACTACAACAATCATAACATTATATCCAGCGTCTCCTACTCCTACAACCTCACCAAGTCAAGCCAAGTTTCATCTTGCCTAAAACGCTGGTAGGTGTAGTTAAAATTGATGCTTCAGTGAATAAACAGCCATTTAAACGTGAGATTTTAAAGGCTTAGAACTTTTATGCTATTCTTCACAGTCGTGCTCAATTCATCAGGGGAAAACTGCTGTCTGAAGAGTTGCTAGTGCAGCATGAGGAGGTTTAAGAGCTTTACAACCAAACTGTTCTGCTGATGTCGAGAAAAGACATCTCATTAAAAGCCAGCATCTCTAAGTTGAAGTGATGCAAAGATCTCATCATATTTTTATGCACATCTTCATGTGAGAAGCATGAAATACCTTAGAAAAGAGTCCTACTTAAACAAGCATATCACAGGTATATACAGCCAAGACAAGTAGAACCACATGCAAGAGACTGAGGCCAAATGTCACTTTGCAGAGGTATGTGATGCAAATCGAGAGAACATTGTACTTCTTAGCTCAGATCTATTTAAAGGCTCCTCACTGAATGCAATCACCTAGCAACAAACACAGGCCTGCTCTGGAGCCCAGACTGGACTTTCTGTCATAAGACCAGTCCAGCACGGTCTAGCAGACCTATTCAGAAGAATGCGACACCGATCTGATATCTGGTATTGGTATCAGATCGATATCAGCAGAAAATGCTGGATCGGAAGGGAAATTGACAAATTCTTTTGACCCATAACTGACCATTAGTCATCAGTCAGCAATTAATCATTCACCCTCCAATCATAATTGGATTTCCGCAGTTATCTGATTATTCAAATAGTCATACAAAAACCATACTCCGATCTAGAAATCTGATAAAGAAAGCTCTTACTCTGATTTCTTTCAGATTTCTCAGTCTGCACATGCACGAGAATGACAGCGGTACCAGAAATAAGTGAGCAGCGTTGCCGCGAGACGCAGCAAAACACTGTTGGAGTGGCACTGAAACCCGAAATAAAGGATTTAAATACTCTTCACATTTTCAGGTTAAGTGGCGCGATATTAAAAAAAAAGCTGCGGCATGAAGTTTGAGCTTTACATTACGTTTACGTCACGTCTTCTTCGGTGAGCTTACTGGCTGGTTGCAAAGCAGAAATCCAATCACTGCCTGACTCATGTAGACCCAGGGTTTCCCCAACATCTGATTACTCAAGTGCATGTAAACGCGTTGATCGGATTACTGACAAAATCTGATTTTCTGCAGTTATCGGATTATTAAATGCATGTAAACGCACTCAATCACAGAATCAATAGTCCTAGTTCTGAAATCTGATTGGTTGAGCCATGCTGAAAGCCATTGCTAAGTTCTTGAAATACTACATGATTGATGTACCACACTTACAGAGCACGAAACAACTGAATCCTGTATTAACACAGATATTAAAAAGTGGTTCTTGTACGAAAGGAATATAGCATATGAATATAGTAATGATAGGTGGGGTCGGCAATAAACATGTTCCTGAACTAAACAGCTTTAAACTTTATTAAAGTTCCCTACATAAGACCCTGGCTTTGTTCAAACCGAGGGGGCTGTGACTATAAAATGTTTATGATTATATGACCGAAAACTAAAAATCGGACTAACTGACTGGAATATATAATGAGTAGCTACTGAAAGTTCTATATACTACAGTTCTGAGGTTACATTTAACATTCATTACTAGCCCAAGTGAAAACAAAGGCCGTGAGCGTGGTTAGCTCAGTGTACCTCAGTAGCCCCTGAAAGCCACCGCCGTTCACCACATCCTTCTCTATTATTTTGCATACCTATGTGTGATTTCCTTACATTGACATGCATCGCACTGTCACGGAGAACACGAACAAAAGGCTTGTCTGTCTTATTGCCTGCCGATGTTTGCTTTCAATATGATAGTGTTTTAGTTGTATGTTTGAGTACGTCAGCATGGTAGCCTACATTTAAACGTTCATTTTAAAGTTTAGTCATTTTTAAAGAAAAAAAAAAAATTATTGATATCGGTGTCAGCCAATACTCAAGATTTCGACGCTGGTACTGGTTTCCGAAAAAGTGGTATTGTGTCAAACACGGGCAACTGGGCTGCGAAGGGCAAACACAGGCACAGCCATCCTGTTCAGATGTATAATGACAGCATTCAAATGTAGCATGAATATACATATTGGCTCTCAGTATTTATGTCCTTAATCACAACACCGATCAAAACATCCAAATAAAACTGATCCTATCTGACTCTGATCGCGCACCTCTATTAGCAGCAGTGCTGAATTCCCTCCATTTGGAGATCATCTGGCTCACTGTGCTGTACTAATTCAGGCCAAAATCTTTAGAAATTCTATTGTAAATCCTGCTGCAGACTGCACAATAACAGTGACCTTCCATGTTTACTGTGCGTCAGGCTGTACAAGATGTCTGCAAATGAAAACTTGGCCAAATTCCATGGCAGACTGAGCCAATTCAGTTATGCCGCAGGTCTGATTATACCATAAAGATGTTCTGCTGATACATCTATGATGCCATAAAATGACATTCTGTGTACGTTTTCTGTTTTCTGCCAAAAAGCATCAGACAAAAAAAGAGACCTCAGCGTAACAGTTTTAATATGTTGCCTGAAAAAAAAATTGCCGGGGAGAGTTTGGAGTTGTTTATGTCTGTGAAAAAGAGGGAATTATAGAATGGCTATTTTCCAAAGTCTGCTTGAGCTCGGTAGACCAATTTCTCTTTCCTTTACATGATATCAATCTCTGTGACGGCATTATTGCGACAAAAATCATACGGCATGAAGCTTCCTCAACGCGCGTCATGTCTTATGCATCAACAACTTTTCTTCTGAAATGTATTTTGATCATGCCGTACTGCACTTGATCTAAGTTCTATTCTGAAGAGAAGGTAAAAATATTTGTATATATTTTTTTTTAAATATGACAAAGCATGTCAAGGCCATACCTAAACTGCCTGGACTCCAATAAAGATTTAGACACTGACTGTTTAAACTAGGGGTGCCCTGAATTTTTTGTCTTGAGGGGAAAACGGCAAGGTTTGGGGTGGGCAGAGGGGCAAAAACACAAACCAACACACAAAAATTAGGTACCTACTAAGGTAGGTATGTTTAAGAATTATAACAGTCCATTATATTTTGTTACAAAAATACTTTTATTATTTTATTACAAAAATAGCAGCCTTTGTTTAAACCATTTGACCAAGCAATATAAAATGTTTGTGTCATTTGTTAAATAAGACTGTCTTTAATAAGTCTATTCTTATGACGTAAATGAGCAGTTCGCATTTTAGGAGTCGTTTATGCAGAAATCCAGATCCTTCAAAAAAAGTTCACAAACTTTTTCTCACAACTCTATGTTTACACTTAGGCCTATAA